AGATTATATTCAAACAGACTATCAAGGTTACATGCAACGACCATAAGGCTGCTCAAAACAATCATGGTTCAAAATCTAAGAGCCATCTGGATGTTACAGGCATAGGTGCTGCTGCATGTTCAAGACATGGCATATTTCTCCCTCACACATGTGTGGATCTTCAATTAGGAGAAGCGTGGGTTTATATTTTGCTCTTTTGAACTGTGCCGTTAATATACTGTATTGAAGCCAAAGGAACATGGACTACTGTCTATTTTGGGCTTTTCAGGCCTTCCCGGAGTTGCTCTCTTCATTCTCATCTATGACATTGTCTGTCAATATCACATCAATATGCGCAAAAGGTTCAATCAGTACTCCGAAATATACCTCCCTGAAACTGCAAGGTTTCTGTGGTCTATTGGACAGTTCCATGTACATGGGCATATAAACAAGTGCTTCTCCAGGTTTTCTCTCAACTTTGTCAAACATGCTGGTGCTCAAGATGGTGAAACCATGGAAACCTTATGGCCAGATGCTGTCAACGCTATTAAGGATAGCACGAGAGGAATGACAGACTCCCATCGACATGAGGTTCTAGATGATAACATGACAGATTGGAACTGGAAGAAGTTACTCAAATGCGTAAGTTTCAACATCCTTAAAGTTTTATATAAACTGATGATGAAAATCCTTTGTAGCTGACACCCTTATTGGGAAATGGAAAAGGGCTATCATAGAGTCCAGGCAGCAAATGAGGCCTTCGAAAGGTTTCAACAAAGGAGCTACAGAAGCTGAAAGGAAGGACTGGCAGAAAGAGGCTGAAGAAGCTCATAGACAGAGGGAATTAAATGAGAGCTCTGAAAGCATGGATATCTTTAATGCTGAGGAAGCACTTCGTGAGTCACTAGACTTCTAATCTAATTCAAAAGTCTGATTTTTATTTAGTTCCAACTCTGAAGGAGACTGCTCACCACATGATTCTAGCTGAAGGGAAGGCCTCAGCAAGGGGTGATGTTCAAGCTGTTTCCTCCCCTGATGCCTCATGGCTTTCAGAAGGAATACTCATTGAACATAGAAGGTAAGTTTATCAACATCTTTTGGTTGGTATTCAAAGGTGGTTGCTTGAACTAGCCTAAGGCTATTTTAAACAACCATTTCTTCATAAGTCTCTTTGAACATAAGAAGCTCTCTTGGAAAACAAACTACTATATTTCTGTTTTTCTGAACCTCTAATAAAAGTTCCTTTGCAGACTAGAAGTGGCTCATTGTGCTAGGAAACTTGGTCCTAATCCTTCTGACAAGGCAAAGCTTAATCTCGCTCAGAAAAGACAAAGACTTCAATCAGATCTTAAAGACTTCAATCTCAAAGGCTTTTCTCATTACAACCTGGAAGGGTATCAGATTCTTGAAAGCCTACCAGGGGTGTCAAGTCTTGGAGAAGCTTGGGATGATGATGAGGAAGAAATAGCACAGGATGAGCTTTTAGGACAACAGGAAATCCCCAACCACAGCAACCTCACAACAATCTCAGAAGAGCCATGGAATCCAGAGAAACAGCCTGCTGCTATGCCCTCTACCTTAGGTTTTCCATACATGAAGAAAATCCAACGGGTAGATTTGGTTCAAAAGGAAATCAAGCTCAGAGTAGCCGAGATGAATGACTGCATCACAGCTATTAGAGAGGGAATAGTGGCAAGAACCTATCTCTATCAAGGAAGGGTCAAAAATCCATCATCCTACAGAACTAGGCTGAGATCTCAAAAAGATGTTCAAGTGGCAAGTGAAGCGCTTATGAGACATGTTCGGTTCTACACTGGAGCTAGACAATCTTTATTCAACCTATATGACAAAGAGGATGAAGAAGATACAAAGGCCCATAGTGCAAGAATGGATTTATATCCTGAACTGACAAGTCAAGACCTGAAGGCCAACCCCGTATTGATGGAACCATCTACTTCAGGACTAAGAAATGAACATGGTTCTTGGATCTGGAGTTTTTCTGGTGGGATAGAGGAAAGAGCTAGTTTTGTTCAATCAAGTAAGTGGAGTATTTTATAAAGTTTTGGATCTTTACTAACCAAAGTGAAGTCAAAAAGTCTATGTGGCTTAGAGCCTATGAACGAAAATGCAGATGGGAAGAGGAGCTCTTGTGAGTGCCTTTCGAGATGGCATGCACTGTCAGATCCCACAAGAATAAGGCTGAGGAGTGGAAGTCTAGGGCACAGCTTACCAGACTGGATGATGAGGGACTTCATGGACATCAAGTATATGCTTATGGTCAGGCAGCTACTTGGGAGAAGCTTGCCGAGAATGCACATAGAGACTTTGTTCAGAAATGCCCTCATTATCAGCTTTAGATAGTTGACTTGAATCAATCATGTCTATGTTTTTAATAAATCTGAGAAGGCCTTCCTAATTCTACTTTCCGTCTTTATGTTCAAATAGTGGTCCCAAAAATTGATGCCTCTCAATGTTAGTCCAGAAGACTTTTAATGAAAAGCCTACTAAAACTCTTTTGGTTTCCCAAACTGAACTACAATCATTTACCATGATCACCCTTGGCCTTGGTATAATAACAAAAAGAGCCTCTAGGCAGTTCACACAACAATGCACTGATGAAGGGACAAAAACATTTTTCAATGTTTCTCTCAAAAGAATCTTGCAAAAGATCAACACTAGTTTCTTAGTTGGTCTCTTCTATGAGAGAGCAGTTCTAAGCCTCAACTATGTAAGAACATCTCATTTTCTCTACAAGAAAACATCATTTCTGTCCTGAGACTTTTTTGGACTTATTATCAATGTAAGAAAATACTGAAGATCTGCCTTCTATTTTTCTGCCCCTAAACCTTTCATATTTTTGTGAGCCAAAAGTTTGTCAAATTTTCACTTTTCCCCATATTTCTTCCCCCCCCCCCCCCCTAAAAAAACCTATATCTGTCTTTCTGTGCCTTTGTTCTCACGGGAAAAAAAACTTCACTTGAGAGACTTTTTCAAGGCATGTTTCTGATTGCCTGGGGCTACAATATGTTTGACTGTGCAATAGCTCTTGAATCAAGTTGAAACATATTTTGAAACATTGGGAAGTTCTGACTAATCAGAAGAGGCACAGTAGCTATACTTTATTCATAAATCATGGTTAAAAATGACTGCCTTCAAAGCAGAATCTATAAATAGAGCAGTCAGTAAGGAGAAAGATCAATATGAATTTAGGAAGCTCTGACCATCTTTACAGAGTTCATCTTTTTCAGCATGTAAAATGCCATCTTCTCCAATGATGCCTCTTATAAAGACTTTGTTTCCAACCTCATAGAAGATGTCCTAAGAATTATTCAAGGATCAGTAAAGGGGCAACACTTCTGCACTAAGAAACTCACATCTAGCAACTCCACAGGAGAAGGTTTATTCACCAACTTCATCAAACTTAAAAAGGCCTCCTCATTCCTCTCCACCCAATTCAGACCAACCACTGGTCCAGTATTGACATACATGATGTCCTTGTCCTCATCAATCTATGAGAGTAACTCAGCAAATTGATATAGTGTGATAAACATAACACATACAGAGACAACGACACCAACCATACTAATGGTGCATCCATGAAAGAAGGATAAAAGAGTAGGCATGGCAGAAAACCTAGTAAGGAAGAGTATCAATCTGTCTGTGAGAGTAGAGTGTGAAGTGAAAGAGACCTGTGAAAAATGATGGACCCATGGTTTTAACTACAGGCACAAGGTTTTCTCACGACCAGGTGGCTATAGAAGTTGTTGAGAAATCACTAGTGTTTCACCAACTAGAGTGTCTCAAACAAGCTAACCTCCCAGTGATCATAGAAGCTCAACCAAGGCGAGGCCATCAGAAACTAGAACAGCTCAATCAAGGTCAGCCATCAGAAACAGGAACAACTCAATCAAGCCAGGTATTCGGCAACCAGCTTAGCTCAATTAAGCCAGGCAACCGGCAACCAGCTTAGCTCAATTAAGCCAGGCAATCAGTGACTGACTTAGCTCAATCAAGCCAAGCAGTCAGTGACTAGGTTAGCTCAAATGACTAGTAGTCTCAATAAATAGTGTAGCTCAATCAAGCCAATCAGTCAGTTACCAGCTTAGCTCAAATGATCAAGAAGCATTAGTATTTGATACAAGCCTTGCTATATCAAAATGTGTATGGGTCTCATTTGAACAAAGGTACTGCCAACTGAGGAACGTCTCAAATGAGTAGATCTATCAAGAACTGATGAATGGCTCAAATGAGCAAGAACATCAGTAACTGAACACCAGCTCAAATGAGGGCAAATAAGCGAATACATCAGGGATTTATGTCACACTTATAAGCGAGTCCTTCAGTGATTGTGGGGCAATCTGGTGGCCAGCTCGCCATCTGTCGTCCGACCCCCGGCCACCGTCAGCCCCCAGCTACCGCCATTCAGGCCCCGAGTCCTTCAATCCCACTCCGTCTTATGTGTCACTATTGATAGGCCCACTTCAGAACGTTCCACGAATAAGAATATTCGGCGTTCTCAGTCACAGGTCATCTAGCCAATCTACTACCACGTCCCCCTTCCGTCCTGTTTGCTCTTCATTTGCCCATATTCTCCGCTTGACGACACATCTGTGCGGGGCCGCCGCTTTGAGATCGCATATACACGCCGCGACGCGCACTTCTCCTTGGTAAGCGAGAGATAATGCATCGCCTAGAGGTACAGCTGCATGAAGACACAGAGTCGGCGGAGTCGCCTCCCACACCTCGAACCCGACCTTCTTCTCGCCCTCGCCCTCGCCCTCGCCAAAGTCCACATCGAACGTGACGATGCGCCTCACCAGAACCGGCGTGTCCTTGAGCACCACAAGCACCCATGTCCCCCGAGAGTCCGACCACCTCGCCCGTGGCCTTCGTCTGCGTGACCGGCGCCGCGCGTAAATGTCCCCTCGACCTCGTGCTCGTCGTCCGTACCGTCCGCGAGCTCGACGAGGATCGATCGCCTGCATCGCGCACGCGCGCACGAGGGTCGTCGTCGGGTCGCCGACGCCACTCCCGACCACTGCCCTACGTGATGGGAGCGATAACCGCCTCCAGGAGCCCTGAGACGAGCACCTGGTCGAGCTCGGGAAGGCTCGCGGAGCCGCCGACCTAATCGATGTCGCGCAGGTGCTCCTTGACCTTCGCGTATCCGGCCGTGAATCGATGTCGAAGCGCAAGCGGGTGATCGTGCCAGCGAAGGCCGTCCGTGTGTCACTGGACGAGCGAGTCGCGGCGCCGGGCGACGCAGAGATCTTGCTCGATTGAGAGAGGCTCAGCGCGCTTGGACACGTCAGCAGTATCCTGGTCTTCTTCGGGAACCCGTTTGCAAAGTTCTTGACGAGGTCTCGTCGTCGCCAACGTCGTCGTCGCGGAGCGTGGTGAGGGAGAAATCAAGGTCCTGGCTTACGGAGAGAAGCGACAGTCAGAAAGCAGATGTTCGGAGGGCGACGAGCAGCCGAGTGCGGGCTGCGCGGAGCTAATGATATCGTCATAACGGAGAGTGGCGAAAGGTCCTATCGGGAGCGGGAGTTCAAGGGAGAACGCGCCGTCGACGAAAGGGAGTTTGAGAGCTGCGCTGAGACCAGTGGCAGGAGATTCGCTGATGGAGACGGCACCCGTCCACTCAAAACAGCGGGAGGACGACACGAGCACATCTTTTTGCGCCCGCTTGAACCAGTTGGGGGCGGTGATGAAGGCACCGTGCACCTTCTTGCCAACGAAGCCCTCCGCGGACCAGTGGCGACCTCGGGTACGGTCCGGACGCGGTCGACGGTTCCGGACACCGGGCGGGGAGTGGTGGCGTGCAACGCGGTGTTGGAGACGGTAGTGGGGAGGGGCGATTCTTAACCTGAGTCCGGAAGCTCGGGGTGCAGGATGATCGGGGTAGACACCGCTCAGAGAACATGAGGACAGTGTTGAGAGTTGGCTCGAGTGTAGTAATGCAGAGACTAGTAATTCCACTCACTTCTTTCGTAAGATACTCCCGAAGCCTGTGACGGTGTTCTGCGAGTTCTTCGCGAGCCGAGGCTTGTCAATGAGCTGTCAACTTGTGAGCAGTGATATCATAGCGGAGAACAGCAAGGATGGGGGCAATCGCGTGTATGTCGTCAAACAAGACGCATCTCGGATGGGAACCAGCACAAAAGGACTCTGCACAAGGCTGCATGCCTCCCGCCTCCATCGCAATCCATGCCATTGCCGATCCCAAGTAAAAGGACTCACCGCCCCCTCGCCATGGAACAAGATCGCGTCCATGTACTCTATAACTCGCCATCCTCGTTCGGAGTACACTCAGCAGCGCCCCGTCCCCTGAATAGTCGTTCTCCGCGTCCCTGCCTTCGAGGAAGTGAGGACGGCGACGAATGCAGGCAAGTTGAGAAGTTGACCCCGACGACCCGGGTAGAAAAGAAACCTTAATCGGGGCGTTGGCGGTTCAGTTGGGGGCTGTCATTGTTGGCACAAATGAGGATAAAGAGGTGAGAGGAAGGATGGACGAGGACAGCGCACTCGTCGAGCACAATTTTCGCCATGGCTGGCCGGAGGGACAGATAAGATAGGCGCGCATAACTCCGATCACTGAGACAAGGGAACAGGCGTCTGCCCTAAGCCTCGCGCTCTCATGCTTGCGGTCGACCACCATCTCCAGATCGTGGATACATCTGTGAGTGCAAGCGATTTTTAGCGCTGCAGATGCGCTAATGCTTTGGTATATTGACAGAAGTGTAGGGCCCATGCACACCGAAGAAGCGGCGACTCCCGCTCGTGATATGTTGAGGCATCTGGATGAAGACGTACTCCTGCATTTGATCGAGGGGATAGACTGCTACAGATTATCCCCCCTCTCCATGACATGTCGCTGGATACGCTCCCTCTGTCTCTCTACGCTGTTCCGTACATCCGGTATCAACTCGATGCTTCTGTCCTCAAGCGCAGGTATCACCTGTCTTCCAGAGCATATTCGGTGCCACGTACGGTGAGTCGTTCATATATTGTTGTCAAATCACTTCCATATCTTGGCTACCACAGGACCTTGAAGTTAAAGGGCCATTTTGATCGTCGTGGAGCGGGACCATGGACCGAGGACGTCAGCGAGGAGCTGGCGAACCTTGCTGCAGAGACAGTAACAGGTGTTATTCGCTCCTTGCCAAGGTTGAATACCATCGTGTTTGACCACTGTATCACCACGTGGGATGCGGTAATCGGACGAGACGGAACAAAGACCGCCATTCCTCTTGTCGTTGTCTTCGCGGTTTTAAACGCTCAACGTGTCCAACACATAATCGTCAATGCGATCTTGTACCACAAAGACGACCCACGACCTGCTGCGCAGGGATCCCCTCTTCTTCTCAAACACATAACGTCCCTAAGCTACACTCCGCACATCTATCGCGAAGACCCTAGGAGGTACGAATCCGAGGCCACTCTTCTCAATCTCATCGTTCCGGCACTCAGCACATCCGTTACCACACTCCACCTCCCAATCGAGAACGCACCATTCCATGTTATGTCACTCCATGACTGGCCAGTACTTCTCGAGCTCGTCCTTGAAGGCCAGCAATACAATGATGAATCGGCGCCACCCATCCCTTACATCAGGTTCCTCGCGCGGATGCCCCGACTACAGCGCCTCAGACTTTACCCTGCACGATTGGCTCGACCATTCCCTTGGCATCCAGCACCTCCTCCACCAGAGCCGATATGGCCAATAACAGTGCCAGGCGATGTCTCTTCGATACTCCCTGCTTCTTCTGATCCGGACGGCATCCCCCCTCTTCTCGCCCTGGAGGAACTCACAGTATGTCACCCCCGGGTAGATGATCAGCTTTGGCCGCACCTCCCACAAAATTTGCGAGTCCTCCGATTGACATGTTGGCCATACCATGACGCAGTGTTGCATCAGAAACAATCTCACTACTCCTTGATGAGGAGGTCGCGCTTGACTTGGTGTACAGAGAGCATCCCCTGTTCCGAAATTTCCCGTATAATCTCCTCTTTCCGCGGTCCATGCAACGTGTTAGTACTCGAGCTGGAGTACATCGCCGATCAAGACGAAGAATCACTCCTCCACCAGGTCGTATCAACATTCCCGTCGTTACAGAGCCTGACACTTATAAGGGATGATGCCTGGGACGATGCAATCAAACCTGCTTGGGAAAGCATTGTGCGTAATTAGTTCATTCTCCTATGAACTCATCTGATGTGACTCATGCCACAGGAACGCGTTGCGAGCGCGATTGTCGGAATTCGTAACCTGAAAAGCCTTCGCGTCTACATCGGATGGAATGACAAGCACCTCCTGGGTCCGGACACTTTCGTCGGAGCACCGGTGGAGATACAGGCAGAGGCCACGTCCATTTTCGATGAAGAAGGTTTGTTTCCAAGAAAACGTTGCCTAGGACTTATCGCCACAGTCTTCTTTGGTATTCTTGGACCACAGATCGAATACGTGGATCTATCTTACGCGACAGGAGGATGGGACTGGTTGAGATTCCGATCGAATAGCATTGAAGAGCCTACGGTAGTTGAAACGTCGCAAATGATACGGTAGATCATCATTATGCTCAGTTTCATCATCATCCGCGCGAACGCCATGACCCGCGCCCTCTTCGGCAGCCTCGTCCGCGTCCGCGTTGCCCTCGGCTGTCGCGAATCAGGGCTCCTCGACGGCTCCCGCCACTGCGTTTCCGATATGACGACTACCTCGCACGTACGCATCGTACACGATAGCTGAACAGGATGTCGGAAGTGCTTCCAGCAGTTGTCTTGCGCGATCGTCCGACAATGACGAGCGCGACATGCGGCGCACCCCATGCACCCGCAACTGCGCGTCCACCACGCTCGGCCGCGGTCCCGCCGCCGCCCTCCCACGTTCGTGCGCACAAACGCGTCCAGCGTCGCGTCCGACGCGCCTTCCCCGCCACGCGGCACCAAGTAGTCGTGCAGCGGGTACCCGCGCGCACGCATATCGCGGCCAACCCCCAGCGCAAACTGGACCGCATTCCGTGGGGGCACGTGGTCGGTGGGGTCGGAGAGGAAGCCGAGGTTGACTGCGCGGCGCTCTCGACGTAGCGCAGTTCTACCCCTCGGTGAACCACCAGATGCTGCTCGGAATCCTGCGCAAGCAGGGCTTCAGCATGCGACTGGTAAACTTCTTGGAGCACTACTTACATGGACGAACAACGGCGTACCGCTGGGGCGCGCACACCTCCGGAGCCTTTAACGCCGTCGGGGTAGGGGTAGTGCAAGGCTCAGCACTGTCGCCCCCTCTCGCGAACCTATACATCGCGCCCGTGATTCACCGACTCAGCCCAGTGAATCAATGCGGCGCCGGGGGATACCCATTCCTGCAGTTCTTCGTGGACGACGGGATGTGGTCGGTATCGTCGAGCAGCCTTCACAGCAATGCGCAGCTGCTAGGGGACCTGTACAAACAGACTGTGCGTGAGTTTACACGCGTGGGCCTAGTTATTGAACATGAGAAGACGGAGGCGTGCCACTTCACGAGGAAGAGGACGGACGCCAATCCGCCCCTCGACCTCGGGGAAGCACCCTTCACCGGTGACTCACCTTTGCAACCGGTCGAGGTGCTGCGGCACCTGGGCTTCTGCCTGGACCGGAAGCTGAACTTCCATCACCACGTGCGCATATACGGCGCGCGCGCAGCGAGCACGGCCCAGTCCCTGCTGATGTTGGGGAACTCGATCCGGGGGCTTCCCCCGAAGCAGCGCCGGAAGCTGTACGTGTCATGTGTCCTCCCCTTGATGACATATGGCTGTCAGCTGTGGTACCGCCGCAAGGGGATAAAATGGCACATGGAATACCTGAGAAAAGCGCAAAACACCGCGCTGCGCTGGGTCACCGGTGCGTTCAGAACGTCGCCGGTGGGCGGCATGGAGATCCTCGCAGGGATTCCACCTGTGAGACTGCACATCGAAAAGCTGGTACGAAGAACGGGGCTCCGCACGAGGACGTTGATGGCGTCACACCCGACGCTCGCGGCCCTCCCTGAGCCCTGGGCGTGCAATCAGCTATCCCCGGAGTTAGCATTCCCCATGGGAGAACGAGCACCACAGTCGGAAGACTCACCTTTCGTCCTGGTAGATGAAGTGGGGACAACGTGCACGGAGGACTTCGCCCCGCTACATGCAGAGGCACGTCCCGGGGCACGGGTGGTGGACCAGTTCGACGGACGACTCGAATGGCACCTTGAGCATCCAAAGAAAAACGCGGATGAGCTTGATGCCTGGGTCGAAGGTCAGCTGAGACCACGCCTTGAAGAAGCGATGGCGGACAAACGCGCCGTAGTCGTCTTCACAGATGGAGCTGTGTACCCAAAGCCGCGCTGCCATAGCGGTGCAGCGTTTCGAGCGTATCGGTCGGGCAAGCTCCTCCTACGGCGCGGCATTGCGTGTGGAGAGGCGACGTCGTACGACACCGAGATGATGGCGCAGGGAATGGGGCTGGGCTTCGCGACGAAGCAGATCTGTGAGACCATTCACGTGGTCGCAGATAATGAGTCAGCACTACGAACCATTCTGGACACCGGCATGCACGGCCAACAGCTCGTGTCCGTGATCGCGTGCCGGAAGGTCCGGGAATGGATGGAGAAGGACGAACGGAGACGCATCGTCTTCCATTGGTGTCCGTCACACGTGGGCATCGAGTGGAACGAGCGGGTGGACGAAGACGCGAAAGCAGCGGCCGACCTGCCTATGGCAGCGAACGAACGCTCACTCGCGCACGCGAAGCACCTTCTCGCGGTCCAACTGAAGTCCGATTGGACAAAACAGTACCGCGAGCACAGGGCGTATGCAGGAAAACACTTCCTGAGACTAAGGGTGTTCGACTCACCCAAACACACCACGAGCGCGGCGCTCGAGGCCCACGGACACTCGACAACAAGAATGGCACGGTTCTGCCGCGCCGTACTCAACCACGCGCCTATAGGGTCATTTCGGAAGCGTTTCTTCCCGAACGAGCCCACGGAGTGCTCGACTTGCCACGTCTTGCAAAGTCGCGCGCACATCCTCTTGGAGTGCCCCCGGTATCGGAGGTGGTGGCGCTGCGGGGGCGAGATCGAATTCTTGCAGCGGCTCCACTCGTATCAGGACCTCAACGGATTCCTGGAGAAAAACGGGAGCGCGTTCACGTTCGCGGACGCACCACAGTGAGACAAGCAAACAGGAGCAACCAAACCGAGACAAACCCACCAGGCGGCGCGATGACGCGTCTTGAAGAGCCCTTAGATGCGGCACCCAGTATAACACCTGTGTAACGTAACGTACCGCACCTGCACTCAGTGCGCGGGATATAAATGCTTGATCAAAAAAAAAAAAAAAAAAAAGACTGCGCGGCGCTCGCGCGGGTTCGCGGTCGCGCGCCGGATGGGGGTCGCGAGGAGGGTGTAGACGCCGGTGCCGGGCGGGGTGGTGACCTCGCTCGCGTTGTTCGCAAGGTGCATGAACTCGATGTCCGGCCGGTTCTCGGGAACGGCACCATCGAGGTCCGAGGCGTGCGCGGGAGCAAGAGCGGTGTAAGTAGCCCGAAGAGGCGGAGGGGAGGCGCCTGGGGAGGAAGGTGGAGACGTTTTGGAATGGGCAGGAGAGTGCCCCGCGCCTGGTGAGGAGGTACTTGAGCAGCTCGAGCAGTGCATGTGAGGCTTCGCAGCGCGTGGAGGGACTCGAAGAGCGGGACCTCCCAGGCAACGGGCACCAGGCTGTGGTCCAGTGACTGCAGGTTTGTCAGCGAAAGTCTCGCACAAGAGATGGGGCACGTACGAGGTACGAGCCGACCGCAGGAATGTCGAGGACGCATGGGATGCCCTTCTATAGATCTCCTCCAGGTAGGCTTTAGGCCCAGTTCCACTGCGGGCGCTCGTCAAGTCCCCTCCTTGTCGGATCCCCGCGCGCGCACGCACGCACGCACGCACGCACCTCAGCATCGCGGCGACCCCAGCGTGCCTCCGCACACGATGATCTCGCACCTCCCACGCGCCACGTACCGCCGGTCCGCCTGCCTCGCGTCCACGCAGTCAGTGTGGGGCTGAGGAAAGGGCGACAAATGACGAACCGCTGGTGCTGCGGTACTGCGAGCGGGAGTGAGTGCGCGTCGTCTCGGACTTGGCAAAGTTCGGCTCGCCCACTGGTTGTAGTCTCCAGGAGAGCCTGCGAGGCGTCAGCTTTGAGCACTGTGGGCACAACAGGCCCGCACCTCAAGTGTACAGCATGTCGTTGATCCGCGATGTTCCCCCCAACGCATCGCCGCGTGTGCTGGTACATGGACTGAGAACTTTCTGCGCGAGGGTGCCAGCGTCCCGACTCCCGAGAGAGCGGGCGGATCGACACGGAAGGAAAAAAGTTTGTATATGCTACACCACAAGCTCATCTCCGACACCACTTGTCAGAGATGAGCCCGTGGCAGAGGATGGCCGCCACATAGATGAATATTGCACAGTGGGACAAGAACACTTACCAGAGAAGTCGAACAAGATGCCCGAGTCAAACGAGTCCTCTTCAGAGTTAAACGTCTGAAGGGGAGCTCATAGCCCCGGTAAAGAGATGCGAAGTGGTGGGAGGAAAGAGCTGGGTGAGAGCGTGTTAGCAGTCAGGCGGCGGCAAGAAGCAAGACTAAATACCCGGTCACGTGTCGTATACCGCACTGCCCGCAGCACGGGCGACTCTGGCGATTTCCCAGGGTAACCGCATCATTCTATCGCTCTTGCGACTCTTCTCCAACTCGTCTCCACATGTTCCAGTTTCAAAGCCCACGTTCCTTTTCGAGCCGCATTATTCTGCAATGCCCATCGTAACTCTGCTGCGGGTGACGATTGAAGGCGCAGAGCTTCACGCGCGTGTTCGAAGGGTCCTTCCATGCTGGCGTACATTTTCATTCTCCCACTTGGTCTCAGTGTTGTGTGAGGTTGATGGAAAGGAAGGCCGTCCGAAAGATTGGTTTCAGGTATGTGTTGGCTTAACTCATGCGTGTTATCATCAATCCCCCCACACCTCGGTCGGCTTCATGTGGTATTACCTCCTTGGTTGGGCTGCCGCGCAGGTCTCTCGGCTCTGTGAGAACACGTCTGCGACGGATGGGGCGATCACGTTAGATTTGCGACGCGTAGAACGCGCTGAGTAGCTCCACGACGCGCTGACCCAGTCTCAGGTGTGTAGAACAAGTACAGAACGCGTCTCCAGTGACATGTGACGCGAACGCTTCGCGTCTGCGACGCGCAGAACACCTCAACGATGTGCTGACCGGGTCTCAGGCGCGTAGAACAGATCCGGGACGCGTGGGGGATGCGTGCGAGGCGCAAACACCTCCGCAACGTTCTGACCCGGTCGTCAGGTGCGTAGAACTGGTGCAGAACGCGTCTCTGATGACGCCTGACGCGAACGCGTCGCGTCTGTGACGCGCAGAGCACCTCCATGACTTGCTAACACGGTCCGAGGCATGCAGAACAGGTCCGCGACGCGCAGGAGACTCTGCCCGCGAGACGCAGAACGTGGCTGACTAAGCGGCGACGTCACGGCGCGCGCGCGACTCGCTGGCAGACGTGGCACAGTCTCCCAAATGTTGCACAACTTAAAGAGATCCAGACCGGTGCGCTGCCCTATTCTCGTCCCGTTCGTCTCCTCGCTCATGCACATGATCACCGCGCAATTCCTCGCGCTTTCTGCACCACAGATATGGACGCGCTTGGTCACCCTCGACATCGACAAGGTCGCAACATTTCTCCCCGACGTCGCCTGGGCTTCACTGTGTTACAGCGCGTTCTGGAGACGGAGTTCGAGTGCCCCGTGGCCTTCCGTGAAGACCGCCCATGCTAATCTCCATGGGGCCCACATTCCACACCTGGCTTCCGGTCGCGCTCTCCCTCGTGCCTACCGACACCCTCCCCGCCGACGTGGACGTCTCGAGCATCGTCGACCTCGGCGCGACCACCGCGCGGCTCACGTCGGAGGTCGAGAGCGTGGTGGACACCTCCACGTACAGTGTACCTGTCCGCCCTGGTCAGCGGGCTCGGGCACGAACTCATCGACATGGCACTTGTCTGTTGTGTGTATCTCTTTTGCGCACGGGCGGGCTTCACAACTGTTGCCATTGTCCGTATGATCTCACTGCTCACAGATTGACAGAATCGGCACCAAACCGAGCACTGATTCGTGGAAACATCGCATACATAACACCACTACACTCGCTGGACATATCTTGGGCAAGAAGTGAGTAGATTTTGCCGCTATTATCATTTCACCTGAGCCGCCGCTCAACGCTGTGCGTAGGTTCTCAGTGCGAGCGCGGCGTCGCTGTCTGTCCCAGCTATCCAGAGCCCCCGGATTCCCCGTACACAAGGTCAATGTTGTTCAGGCATCTCCGCCTCTCCGTCCCTCTACCACGTCCAACACCCCTGCCTCGTCGCACGCCACCATTCCCCACTCGGAACTTGTCGCCGGTGACCGTGTTTTGATGTGTCCGCGGTCACGGTGACCCTCGTCAAATTGCTCAGCAAGAACACACGGTGCCGTCAGCCGTTTTCCGTAATGATTCGAGCACGCGCAGAAGGACGCTCTTGAGGAAGTCACCGACGCTGGAATTCTTCGTCCTCCGGAGGAAGCGGGGCCGCTGTCACGACCCCTCCTTCGGGATTCAGCCCCTCCCTCCAGCCTCAGTGTGAACGGCACCCAGCTCCTCGTCGACCTCAGCGCATCAGCCATCAAGCTGTCGCTTCTCTCCATCCGGTAGGGCCTTTCGTTCACCAGCGGCGACGAGATTGATTAATCATTCCGGAAGGAGTTTACGAAGACCAATACGGCGCTGACGCATCGGACGCGCAGGACACGCGCATAAAGACGACCCCGTTCCTCCCTTTCCCCCTTCCACTTTCCTCCTGCGTCACATCAAGACGTTCCGGTACACGCCCTTCACGTATCGCGAGGGCCGCGAGCGTACGCCTCCGAGTTGGCTCTGCTCAAGGTCATCCTCCCAGCCATCAGTGCCTCCGTCACAGCCCTCCATCTCCCCCTCGAGAACGCGCCGTTGCACGAGATGTCTCTCATCGACTGGCCGCGCCTCCACGAGCTCGTCTTCGAGGGCGAACACCCCGCGTGCATGCCCCTCCTCTGCCATCTCCGCTTCCATGTTGCAGACGTATTCGACCACCCAATAAACACGGCGTTATTGCGGATAGAGCCCCCTCCCCCAGTCTGGCCCGTCTTCTTCCCGTCGATGGAGCTTGCACCACTTCAGGCGCTTGAGGCGCTCACGGTCAGCCACCCGCGGATCGGGACCAGCTTTGGGCGCACCTGCCGTCCGGTCTGCGCGAGCTTCGGATAGTATCATGGCCGTACTACAACTGCTCCTGGCACTATATGACTCCTATCCGCAGTCCAACCTGACGCAATCCGGCCTCACTGGCGTGCCCGGCTCATCCCATCCTGGACCATACGCCGCATCGTTGGTTGTGCCGGGGCTCTTGCACTTGACCGTCCTCGAGATCGAGTATGCCGCCGATGACGACGAACAAGATCTGCTCAAGGCTGTGACGACGACGTTTCCGGCGCTGCAGAACCTCACGCTCGTACGAGATGACGCGGTAGATGAAGAGACGAGGCCTCCTTGGGAACGCATCGTACGATATCATTCGTGTGTTCGTCGCACAGGACTGACGACGATCTCGCACACAGGTTGATATCGCTGACGCACTCCGATGTCTCCGGGGCCTGCGCGGGATGAGGATGCATATCGGATGGAACGAACACAGGGAGATCGGCCTGGATACTTTTCTCGAGGCGCCCGAGATACAAGCGGAGGCGGCTCGACTGAGTGAGAAAGAACCGAGAATGTCGAAATGGTGTTTGGATTGATTGCTATTGTTTTCCTGCGTAGACTTCGTAGATCTTTCTTACTCAGACGTAGGAAATCGTTGGCTCAGATTCCGGCCGAGCCTTGGCCCTGGTAGGCCCGGATGCGTGCAGAAGATCCAGCTGGAGATCTGGATGTAGAAATGAATCGGGACCCGATGGCGGTGCTCGGGGGGCGACGGTGGCCGGGGGAGCACTGGTGGCGAGCCTCGTCGAGCGCCGCTACGTCGAGGCTGTAGCCTCCCGAGTCCGTGTCGGTCGTTCCTCGTCATCTCATCCCAAAGTTCTCCACAAGGAATGGCTGTGTTGGAGAAACATGAACCAGGAACGCTACGCCGTCTAGAGGACGACATAATGCTGAAAATCATTGACGAACTCCACTCGCCGCTCATCGATCTTGCGTCCCTCGCGCAAACTTGCGTGTGGGTGCGAAGCCTCTGTGCACCGACACTCTTCCGGGATGTCAAGGCGTCTTCGAAGGATCTGACACTGAATCCCGCTTCTTTCGTACCAGATCATCTTTGGCCACACGTTCGGTAAGTCTCTTCCCCCGCTCGATGACCCAGGCTCCAGTTTTCACTTTGCGATCAGAACGCTCTTCCTCCACGGGCCTTTCCGTAGGTTCAGGCCACATAGCGGTTACACGGTCGAATTAGAGCATATTGAAGACGCTTTAGACCATGAGCGGCGCGTGGCGGACTTTCTGGCTATCACTCTGCGGTCAATGCCTCGGTTGAACGCAGTCATCGTCGACATTCCCAACATATTTCCTAAGGGAATGGACGGTGAGAAGATCGGAGTTCCTCCGAGAGTCATCGAATCCATCCTGCGTATCCCCCAGCTCCGCCATTTCGAGGTCATTGGCTCTCTTTATCATCCCTACGACCCCCCGTATTGGGGCTGTCCGACGATCATCGCCACGTTAACCACGTTCAAATCTAAGCCACTTCCTCTACGCCAAGACTCCAGGAGCAATGAACGTGAGGCAACTCTACTGCGACTGCTCGTCCCTCAACTGCGTTCGCGTATCCGCGTCCTTCATCTCCCCATGGAAGCCGTTCCCTTCTCCGAACTGTCGCAACACAATTGGCCATGTCTACGCGAGCTCGTCATCGAAGGAATGTACCACCAAGGCGGACCCCGACCTCCATTCGTTTTCGTTCTCGCACTGATGCCCGAGCTTCGACTTCTCCACCTCCTCGTCGTCCACAGGCTTACGGTGGGACTAAATACGAGAGATCGTACCATCTGGCCCGAGGACGTCTCCGGAGCGATGCCGTGGCCGTTCCTCGAGGACCTTGTCGTCACTCAACCCCAGCCTGACGATCAGATATGGGCCCATCTCCCCTCGACGCTGCAAACCCTCCGCCTGCGTACATGGCCTCATCCGCACAGCATAGACGCGCATGATGGAGAAGTTACACTTGTAGAGCAGTTAAAAGACGAGCTTTAATGTTACAAGGCGAGCAATAGGCGCCTATTCTCTTGTCAGGTTCCGGGCCCGCGCTTATCTTATCTGTTGCCCCTCGCCAGATAAGCTAGTCACTGTATGCAGGCGCCGAATACTATGCCCGCCCCGGCCCGTCCTTTTCTCCCACCCTTCCCTCCACATCCCCATGCCCCCTGACTCTACAGCACCCAACTACACCACCGAACCCACCGGTTTCAGTTTACACGACCCGAACCGTTCGATGCGTCCATCTCTGTCCTAACGAAGGCTAGCGGGGGACTTCCCTCCACGAAGAGAACACTGAGCACGGCTCGTCTGGCGGATGAGGATCTGCCTGCTGCATTGCGAAAATGGCGACTGCCGGGATATTTTTCCGTGGAAAGGACACGGTGAGTTCTCTGACTTGCGATCGACAATGGCGGCGCGATATATGTGCGGCGGGTCTCGTTCTTCGCCTCCCCGTCCACACCCACATTATCTTTTGTATGTGTCTCAGTCGCGCACGGGCGGGGTTCCCGGCTGCTGCCATCGTTCCGTTTGAGATCACTGCTCGCAAGTCGAACGCTCAATGTTGTGCGCAGGTTTCCTGAGATCGCTGCGAACACGCTGTCGGTGTATGCCCCAGCCATCTCCATTTCCGATCCTCCCCACTCCCGCGTTCAAGACCCCTGCTACGTCGCACGCCGATACTCCCCATCTTCGCCGCCGACAGCGTCTCGGTGTGTCCGAGATCGCCACAATCCGTCAAGAGTCGGCAAGAAGGCGCAGGGTGCCATCATCGCTGGTCCGAGATGGTTCGAGGAGGCGCAGAAGGACGCCCTCGAGAAGGCCGCCTCCGACGCGGGCCTTGTCGTCCTCCAGCTGCTGGAGGAAGCGGGCGCGGCAGACGTCACTACCACCAGCAGCACACCGACCGCAGATCTCAGCGCAGACCGCACCCAGCTTGTCGTCGACCTCGGTCCTCGGCGCCTCTGCCCTCGAGCCCTCGCTTCTCTCCATCTGGCAGGGTCTTGCGTTCCCTCTCGCTACGCTGCGCGACGACACCATCGGCGGCGAAGAGATCGACAACAAGCTGATCGAGAACTTCGCAAAGGAGTTCACGAAGAAAACCAAGACAACGCTGGCCGTCTGCCCCGCGTCGGACGCGCAGGAGAAGCGCGCACCGGAGGCCAAGCTCCGCCTCGCACTCGAGCACACCAAGCGCACGATCTCCGCATCCCCGGGCGCCGCGACGTGCTCCGTCGAGTCCCTCAAGGACGGCCTCTACTTCACCGGCACGATCACCCGCCTCCGCTTCGACATGGAGGTCCGCACGATCTACGACCGGGTGTACGCGAAGGTCAAGGAGCTCGTCGCCACTGGGCTCGATCTGTACGACGTCGATGAGGTTGTGTGCGTCGGCGGTTCCGCGAGCCTCCCCGGGCTCGATGAGGTGATCGTGGCGGAACTCCAGGAGGCGGTCGTCGCCCCGTTCACGCAGGGCACGGTGGTCGAGGGCGGTGTCGGCGACCCGATGACGATCCTCGCGTGTGGGTGCGCGGCTCGAGGTGAAGGTGAGTTTATAAATGGTCGATATCGGACCTTTTCAGTGTGATACTGTCGCTCGCCCTTCGAAATGTTACGAGACCGTTTATATGCTTTACCGAGGCCCGTGACATGTACCGATTCCGTCGCTACGAACAGCCGTGCTAACGTAGATGCGCCGGTCCGCGAGGCGCAGTTCGCATCGAGGTATTACAACTGAAGAGTGACGTCTACACTGCCATCTTTGAAGGAGCGAGAGATCCGGAACACAGACCAGTCATCGGAGAAGTCATACGGTAAGAGAGACACCAATTCTAGAGTTGGCATCAGCTGGGCGAAAACGAATGCGGCCGCGCGGACGCAACTGAGGCGGTTAGTCTCGTCCTCTGCCACTTCAGAGAGCTCTTTCTCCACGCTCTCACCCGCGCCGCTGAATAGGTAAGCTGGGACCCCCTGACGCAAATGGGACCAGTGGAGGAAGACGCGGAGGTGGCGAAGGGATGCACTCGAGGCAAGGGCTTCAGCTATGCAACGCTAAATTGAAGATTAGCAAACCAACGCTGAGGCGTCAGCGAAGAAGCTCTCACCAGGGGCAGTGGCGGCGCACGAACAGGCACGCCCACGATGACTTGGTCCACCTCAGGATCGTATCGGAAAAGCGTGAGGCTGTGGAGGCGGGGCAAACTTTCTGCGATCTCTCTAAGCAGCGAGTTTTCGTCCTCTTGGATGTTGTACTCCATCTCGAGCTTTCGGAGATCCCGTGCCCTTGAGCTGCAAGCGCGCATGATCCGCCGTATGTCTGCGGCCCCCAGGACCGGCGATTTCCAATCAACCTCGTCGCTTCGCGACATTTCTCCTCCACCCAGCCGTGGCATCCCCTCGCGATAGATGATCGGTGGATCGAGGGTGGTGATCTCGAAGTGATGTGGCCAACACTGGAGGCGGAGAGTGTGCAACGTCGATGGGAGGTGATCCCACAGCTTGTCGTCAGGGTTGGGATGCGCAACCAGCAAGTCTTCAAGCTCCGGCCACGGCATATCAATCGACGTTTCCACGGGCCAGATGATCTCCAGATCGCTGGGGAACCAGAAGCTCTGATGGGCGATACAGAGGTGGAGGCGACGTAGTGCGGGCATCCGAGCGAGGAGAGGGATGAAAGGCGGTGGGAGGCGATTTCCAGAATATTCCCCTTCGATGACAAGCTCTCGCAGTCGAGGCCAGTCGTGGTGAGGTAGTTCGGAGAGCGGCAGGTTTTCCATCGGAACATGTAGCGTGCAGATGGTCGGGCTGAGAGCCGGGAGGAGAAGCTTGAGCAATTCGGCTTCAGAAGCGTACGAACGGGGTTGAAATCTCGTGACGAGTGGCTTGTACTTGAACGTGGTGAGGGTGATGGAAGGAATGTCCAGCAATCGTGGCGCTTTGTCGTACATGTGATAGAGCGTACCGATTACTTCGAGATGAGGAAGATGCGGAATGCTCAAGAGAGCGATGATCGCTGGAAGAGGAACGGCAGTCCTGAACGCGTCATCGATGTCGCAAGGCCATATGTTGGGGATATTGACCACCACGGTGCGCATTCGAGGCATCAACCGAAGAGTGTTTCGCAAGAAGTCTGCCACCCTCCCTTCATGTATGGCGGCGGCTTCCCATCCGTCTTCATCGTCCTTACTGCACAAATCCCACCCTATTCCATTTGCGCGGCCGTAGTAGCCTCTCGGGAGCTCGTAGCGACAGAATATTCCGTCGAGGTAGAGTGTTCTGTAGGTGCAAGGGATGTGAATGAAACGGTAGAAGTTGGAATGCAACGAGGTCGTACTGCACATGAGGCCATATGTAGTCCGGAACGAAAGCATCCTTGTGAAGCAAAATATTCCTGGACTTGACCTTCACAGCTCGAAAGAGCACGGGCAAGCAGAGCTCACGAAGCTGCCCGCATGCCTCCGAGAGCGGGAAGAGACCTTTGAGCGGCGACCGAAGTTCTTCGAATATTTGAAGTAGGATGTCGTTCCCCAAGCAACGAAGACCTGAGGCCTGGTTCGTTGAGAAATCGTTCATATTTTGAGGCACGTCGGATGTCTCAGACGGGCAGGAGAAGGTCGACGCGGATCCATGGGCAGACGCGCGAGGGGGCGCTTTAGTGTGGGAAGAAGTCAAGATCAACAAGCCATGTGACTGACGCCGCGACGCGGACAAGCGACTGCGACCATCTTCTCCTCCCCGGGTGTACCTCCGACAGCCATACAACTCTCAGCTTGCCTATGATCCCGCTTTCCGTACCTATCGCGGCACTTCCTGGGCCCCTCTTCAAGGCACGGCAATGAACACTCCGCAGGACGTCTTTGTTAGTAGACGTTAGCACCGGAGAACGGGGTGCGAATGTGAGTATCCAATGGACTGAGGACTATCTACGTTGCTGAAATAGCTCTCCCGTTAACTAGGGGTCATTTGCTTCGGTTCCAGGGACTGTTCTGCGATGTTGCACCGTCGATATGACCTTGACGTCTGTGGCGGGGGACAAGGGATGGACATACGACAGGTATGTAGCACGCTATTTCTTTCGCCTGCATCCTCTCAAGCCGATGGAGTTCTTGATCCCCACTCTGTCTACCCATCATGCATTTCCGTCTCTCGGCTTGTCCGTGAACAGGTTTGTTTATCTGCGTACTCGGGCAGAGTTCAAGCTGCAGAGGACGGCCTTCGTGATTGATACGGGTACGTGTATTTCCCTTCTCCAGCGGACGATGCCGATGAGATACACGCCACAGAACAGGAGATTTGAGCAGCCTCGAAGGAGATCTCGTCGCTGATGGGGGAAATGTTACCGAACATCGCGCATGGCCCTTCATCTACACGTTGCCAACACCAGCAGCCGACGATCTCCCCGACACCCTGCTCGTCTGGTACCGCAGCTCTGCTTTTTGATGATTCGGTGAGTGTCCACGTCTCGCATAACGCGCCCATGCAGATGATGCTTGCTATCTCTTTCCCAGAAACATCACGGAGTTCAAACTTGTGCGGTATCTACCTGAATGTTATTCAAAGCTGTCACTGAAGTACCCTCGCTTTGACACAGATTCACCCTCCCCAGTCGCGGCATATTCTTCGAACCGTATCGGCCAATGTTCTCCGCTGTGCCTGAGTCATGGTGTTTACCGGCGTTGCTATGTACGTCCTTGTCCCTGTATACCGCTCTCATCGTTGGTGATACTGAATTGAGTTGTTCAACCGTTATCTAGTGACGCATCTGAGCGGCTCGAAGCTCTTCGCGCCGGCTACGGTTCGAGCCGTTGGAGTAGCACGCTGCACCTCATTGTCTCCATGGTCTATCATCATCGTGAGCAGCCAGCCCGGCTCTTGAAGCTTGTTCCCCGCCCCCACCTGTCTATCCGGCTTCACAAGAGGGAGAGACATCCTCATTCCCCGCACCGGAGCTCCAGATTGCGCCTCGCCAGACCCTAACCCCACGTCGAGTCTCCAATCTCCCAACGCCTCTGCCGTGTCCCACCCCGCCCACCCCACTTGGAATCCGTCATCGTCCATCTCGTTGTGACGTGTCAGAGGTCGCCACTATCTTTGTCAAGTTGCTCATCCCCTAGCTGTCCTCCTCCGCCGTGTCTCGGCGCGGACGGTACTCAGCTCCTCGTCGACCTCGGGGCATCTGCCCTTAAAGCTCTCGCTCCTCTCCGTCAGCCAGGGCCTTGCTTTCTCCCTCGTGACTTCCCGCGACGACACCATCGGCGACTACTAGGTCGAAAATTCAAAACACGCGCATCAAGCACCCCGCGAAGAACAAGTGCGCAGAGGCCAAGCTCCGCTCCCTCACACTCGAGCACCCCCAGCTCACCAATTCCGTGTCTCCACGCCATGCGCCGCGACCTGCTCGGTCGAGTACCTCAAAGACGCTCCGCTTCGACATCGAGGTCCGCCGATGTCGACGAGGCGCATCGTTGCGTTTGATATCGACCTCGGCGAGGGCGGAAGCGCCACGTCGGGCATGGGAAGGCTGGGAGAACTGTCGACATACGTAACCTCGTTCACGTCGTCAAGGTCGGGCCCGGTGGTGGAGACGAACCCTTCGGCCTCGGCGTACACGCGGTTGTAGGTCGAGCGTGCCCTTGAGCACAGGGGCCCACTGTATTCCGAGCACACTCTGGGAACAGCAAGCCGACCGTCTCTCTTTCGCCTGCGTCTACTGGCGTTTGTGGGCGGAAAAAGCCTTGGCCTCGCGCTCCTCCTCCGTCCGTCCGCGAGCCCAGCCAAGGTCTTTGCTTGCATCGCGCACCCGCGCGCGAGGATCGTCGTCGGGTCATCGACGCCGCCCCCAACGGGCATGACGTCATGGCGTTGAGTAGCAAGCCTCTTTTGGCAAGGGAGGCGCCACGAGTCCCGGAAGGCGCCCACCGCCGAACACCGACTGGTCAATTTCGTTTTCTACTGCTGCCCCCCTCTTTGCGCTCCTCCTCCTGACACTACTCGCACTTGCTGCCGCCGATGACCTCAAGGACGCGCGGAAGTCGTAGTATGTTCCCCACACCACGTTCCTGTGGCCAGATCTCTAATGCGTCCTCTTCGCCAGCCCCGCCGTGTGCGACCGCCTCCGGGAACATCTCCCGCTAAAGCTCCGCGCTCCGCGCTCTGCGCGTCTCGACTGGCCCCACTCGGGTGGCGCCGAAGTCGAGGTCGGGCGGTTCCTGCCTGCGTTCGAGCGGCAGGCACTCCGTATCCTAGAGCGGTTCGCAACGCCGTGCCCTAACATGCTCGCGCTCAAGTTTCAAATCACGGGAGTGCGCGGGACTCGAGGATCCAGCTCGGGAAGCGGTGAGGAATCGGATGGAGACGAAGCACGAGGCGACCACCCTCCGTCTCATCGCCGTCTTTTCTCGGATGCGACGGCTCCGTCGACTCCACCTTCACCTTCGTCTCGCACGACGCCGGGACGTATTCGTTGGCCGACAGGCCTGGCCCTCCACCGTGGCGATCACAGTAGCGCGTCCGTAGCTTGTTCTCGAGGCGCTCATCGTGTCAAAGCCCATTCCCGAGGATCGCTTGTGGACACGTCTTCCCCCTCATCATGCACCCTCAGTTTACGATGGTGGCCCTCCGCGTCATGGACGTCGTGGGAAACACCAACACCCTGGCTTGAACGCACAGGAACAAGTCAAGCGCCGACCGGACATATGGCACACAGCGAAGCCTGGCTCTGCCGCGGTCATGGCGACTGTCGTCGGAATGTGCAGCACGAGCTCCCTCGTAGCTCTAGAACTCGAATATCAGGCCGGCAAAGACGAACGTCACTCATGGGCGCCCATCCTCCTCAACACCGACACGGACCCCAGGTCCGCGAGCTCAGAGTGAGTACCTTCCATTCCGCAGACACCGCCCTCTCCTCTACATCCCCGCATCTCGCATCCCAGCATGATTCCAGATCACGCATCGCTGACTTTGCTCCCCTTTCGGCTTTAGGGAGGCTTCTACGTCGTCCTCTGCGTCGGTCGCGGCTACGGCGGATGAGACCCCGACGGGCCCGATTAGATTCAGTGCGACGGGCACGAGCAGCGCGCGCGCGTGCCCCATGCGCCCCAACGCACTCCCCGTGTCTTCCAAATAACATGCGTAGAAATCGCGCATCTTTCGCGCTTCCCCATATCTGAGGTGTTACTCGAACACCACGTTGATTTGCATGTCGTACTTATGTGAGTGAAGATGTGAGGATGTTCACGACGGGTAATTTCCCTTCTCCCTGCAAGTCTCCATATCTTACTAAGAATGGGCTGCATGTTAGAATCCCGTATCAGACAGTCGTGAAGACAATAAGTCGGCGAATTTGTTCCGACTCGGTAGCCAGAGTATGCATAAACGGCCGGGTCGTGTTGGGTTGAGCACGTGCTGGGGTACGTGCGTGCGGATTTCCATTACGTAATTACAACGCGACTTGAACATCGGCGCATGAGATTCTAAACGTTTCCCTCCACCACCAACTGCGAAGATTTAGTCAGATCAAGCACCGTCGACTCTTGAGATATGTTTCATACTCTGGATGACGATGTTCTATCTATAATATTCGGTATCGTCTGTCTCAGTGAAGCCGCACCTCCGGGCCATCGCAATCCGACACAAAAGCTCCCCAAAAACAGCATCCGCTTCTTCCTGTTTCCCTCGTCTGCAAGTGGCTGCGCGAATACTGTATGCACATCATTTTCAGGGAGGTAGGCCTTTTCTCCGGCCACCCTCACGACTCTTCCACACCCTTCATTCCACAGACCTTATGGCCATACGTGCGGTGAGTGACGAAGTACGGTCCTGATGTGCTCGAAATTCACGCTCTTCACAGGGTTTTGCATTTAAATGTTCGCGTTCTCCACAGGCAACGCAATGGTTCACTCGCCGGGTGGCCTCACTTGCCGGAACGCCAAGGTGAAGCTCGCAAAGAGCGCGCGGCGGGCTCTTTGCGCATCGCGCTCGCACAGATGCCATCGCTTCGATCTGTGGTCATCGACAGCGGTCTCAAGGATCCAAGAGAATCCATGAAGAAAATGGATACCCTTCAATGCGGCGTGCCTCTCCCAATCCTACTAGCGTTGCTCTCCGTCCCCACGCTTTGCGATCTTCGCATATCAGGCTACCTCTATAATCGCCAGAGCCACACGCTGCTGGAGGGTGAGCACGAGCCACTCAAACTTCCCCCTCTCATGTCGCTCGTGTACACCGTCCACATTCTCCGCCACCAGCCTTGCACCTTCAAATCTGAGGCCGCACTGCTCAAACGCATCGTACCGCGCCTCAACAGCACTCTCCACACCCTGGAGATACCGGTGGAGAACGCTCCTTTGCAAGAGATGCACGACTGTACCTGGTCGCACCTTCGCCACTTCACGCTTTACGGTATACTTCCACCCACTCACGCGACGCACGTCCCTCTGATCGCCGTACTCGCTCGGATGCCTCGCCTCCGCTACCTACACCTCCGGTTCTCCAGGCGTCCCAGCGACATACCTCAGGCCATATGGCCGATTGATTACGACGCCACTGTCGAGTGGCCGGAGTTGGAAGAGTTACTGGCCACGCATCCCGTCCCGGAAGACCAGCTGTGGTCGCACATCCCTCCCATCCTCCGGTCAATTTCTTTTCCTTCTTGTCCCTCTCCGTGGGAAGTGAAGGAAGCTTCTCGTGAGGATTGGCTTCAGAAGCGAAATGAGTTGGTGTTGGATGTGACGCCGTTGCGAATCGCTGCCGCACTTCAAGTACTTCAGAAACTCGATCTCCCCCTCCTCAAGTCGCTTTCCATCGCCTACGAAGTCGACGCCAATGAGGGACAACTTCTGGACTACCTCGTCCAAACCTTTCGTCATTTGGACACTGTCGGTCTACATCGCGAGCCACGCAAGTACACGTCTCATGCACCACAGTCTCCTCGAGCGTTTGTGAGTTGATGTCTGATATAAGTTGTAGCCCGCCAGTTGACAACAGGTGTTAGGAGCAGTTTGTGGAACATCTGGTCCCGCTAACTTCTATGCATACATTGAGTTTGCATCTCGACCAAGAAGAACGTTCCATCTACCGTGGCATCGACAGGTATGGTGACGACGAAACTATGGATTTTTCCCTGCTCTGGGATATATGTAAGTCACGACTGAGTGGGTTAAAGACGTTGGAAATCATTTGTACTGGCCAAGGAAGAGAAACATACACTCGATAGAGTTGTATTCGTATAACTACTCTCTAATGTGTAACATATACATGTAGCTAAGAGAATGGATGACACGATCCAAAGCCACAATAAAAGCCCGCAGGTGCCGGCCAAGCCTGCGAGGCAGTTCAGCCTCGCACTTCGTTCTCGTAGAGCGAACGTCGTCGACGGCGCTTTCTGCGCTCCGCATCTAGCTACGGACGTCGCACGCAGGTCATACGGACACCCAAATTGATTCACGGTACCCTTCCGAGAGGCACACGCACGTACCTAGCTAAGCCCACTCCACCACCACGCGCCCGTTCAAATCAACTCCCAGACCGCCCACAACCAGCCTCTCCACCCCCGCATCGAACGTCCAGTTCCCCACCTTCGCCCCATTAACCCTCACCGCCATCGGCGCCGCGCCCGCCGCCCCGAGAACCGTCACCTTCTCCAGCCTCTGCTCGATCAGGAACGTCCCCTCCCGCTCGACCGACACTCGCCCCGTCTGCGCCCTGACAACGAGCGTCGAGTTCGGCGTGGGCGGCACGCTCTCCCCGTCGTCCATGTACGCCGTCCCGAACGCGTACCCGTCCGCCGCCTGCGCGACGAGCAGCTCGTACGGGCCCGCGCGCGTCTCCGCGATCGTGTACGCGGGCGCCGCGTGCAGCAGGAGCGCGGCGCCGTCGCGGACGTGCACGGGGATGTGGCCGAGCGGCGCGGGGAGCGTGGTGTTGGTTAAGATGGAGGCGTTGAGGACTTCGTGCGTGTACCAGTCGCGCCAGGTCGAGCGGCCTTGGCCCGGGAAGATGCCTGTGGCGCGCGTGGGTGAGTTTGGGTGTATGAGTTACCAGATAGGAAAGACGTACCGTCGACGGTGGAGACATTGGGGGTGAGAACGGGAGTGACGAGGATGTCGCGGCCGATGAGGAACTGGCGGTCGACGGAGAAGAGCTCCGGCTCGTCTGGGAACTCGAAGAACAGCGCGCGCACGGTAGGGGTCCCGTGCATCGACGCGTTCGCGAACAGCGTGTACTGCGCTATCGTCAGAATCACGAAGACACGAACGTACAAACCAACTCGCCCAGTACGGCAGCATGCTGTACCGAACCGCGATCGCCGTCCGCGACGCGTTCGCGACCGAGTCCCACCGGTACGGCTCCTGGCTCAGCGCGCTCCGCACGTTGTGGTTCCGGTAGAACGGCATGAACGCCGACAGCTGCATCCACCGCCCGCACAGCTCCTCATCCGTGTTGCCCTGGAAGCCGCACGTGTCCGCGCCGACGAAGGGGATCTGGAAGAGCTGGAACTGGAGGACGCCCTGGATGCTGAGGTACATGTACCGCCACTTGGAGATGTTGTCGCCTAGCCAATGACCTGTCCAGTTCCCAGAGCTAGGGAAGGTCGAGCGGGAGATGAGGAACGGGCGGAGGTTCGGGCGGAGCGAGAGTAGGGCGAGGTGCGTCGCCTTCTCTTCCATCATCCCCCAGAGGTTGTGAACATCGAGTTCGACGAGACCATTTTGATGCGTGGCGTTAGGGGAGACTGTGTTGTCTGCGATGGATGGGTCGCCTGCACATGTAGTTGAACCATTTATCAGATAAGGATACGCGCACATCATGTATGAATCACATACCGTTATGAATCGCATATGGAGGCGTGTTCAAGTCCTCTACGGGTAGGCCAGCGGAGCCTAGGCCCCGCTTCGTGGGAGGGAAGGTGACGCCAGGGAAGTCCGCACTGTTGTTGCCGAACGTCAAGGTGCCGTTGATGGTGATATTCCCGCTTGGGCCCCAGAGCGTTGAATTGTAACTGAAGCAAAATGTCAGCTTCGAACGGAGGAGAATTAATTGAGACGTACCCTTCCGGATACTCAGTCACCGCGTTTCCCGGCTCCCCGGGGAAGTGGGACGTCGGGATAGTGGCGGCTGAGAGATTAGCACCCGTACCACTGCAAGTGGCATGTCAAAACGCTTGTGTCCGCGAAAACTAAACCACGCTTACCATGAGCCAGCGCAGACGGAAGTGGGCTCGTTGACATCCAGCCAGATGCCCGAGAAATTAACGCTGGTGGACCAGTTTGCAATAGCCTCACTCCACACGAGTTGACTGTTGTTCGCAAACCAGTCCATGAAAACCTGCGAAGCGCCGATGTTAAGTAGAGCGGAAAGTCGGAGACAGACACGTGGACTCACGGTGTATCCGGGCCACATCTGCCCCAGATATTCGCTACCATTTTGATTCTTCATGAACACATCCCTGTCCATCGATCGTCAGATGGTAAAGGTCGATGTCGTTCCACATGACCTCGAGCGGAATGTTCGCCTCGCGCATCTTGTCCACTTGCTCGCGTGTCTCACTAACGTTGGCGTATCCCCAGCGGCAGAGGTGGAAGCCGAAGCCCCATACGGGCTGCCACGTGGGCAGTCCGATGAGCTGGCCGTACTGCTCGATCACCTCCTGCGGGCTGGGTCCGGAGAAAAAGTAGAAGTCGAGTGTGCCACCAAGTAGGCGGTACTCGACGAGAGAGACGGGGGAGGATGGAGGGGTGAGCAAGAGAATGTCGGAACCGGCAGCGCTGACGACAGGTATTAGAAGGAAGTATCCAGGGCGAGGAGCAGACGTACCCGAATTGAAAGACCCCATGCGTCTTCGAGCGCCGCGTCGTCGAGTTGTAGCGGTGCTCGAGGTAAAAAGGGTGCGATCCGTACTCGTTCTGGTCGATCGGGTCGGGAATGTTGCGCGCCCACATCGTCTGTATCGTACCAACGCCTCCGTCCAGACCGATATCGTGCCTGAAGCCGAAGCTTGCGAGAACTTCCCCGAGACCATATATGTTGGCATTGAGTGGAAGGGCCGAGGTGATCTGCAGATATTGGTCCTCGAAAACAAGGGGGAAGCCATCAAGTGCGGTGCGGGTGTCGTTGCCAATGACAGGCGGGATCGGCGTTGGAGGAAGCGACTTGGCACGGGTGTCGAAGATGGGCTGCGCGTCTGGTTCGTCCCGACGAGTGACCCAAAACGCAAATGGCTTCTCGTCGTAGTGGAATTTGAACTCGGAGTTCTTTTTAAAACTCGCATCGCCAGTGCCGGGCTGAAGGGCGACGACGTCAGAGGGAATGGTGTACTGCTGTTCGGCGGTGTCGAAGATGTTGACATGCAGGCTGGAAGGAGCAAAATCTCAGTATCTGTGTTCGCCGACACATGGCGGACATGCTCACCGCGATTGAGTTTCGTAGGTGACTCGCAATGTGAGATTGGCGACGTCATGACCGAAGGCGTTGCACGCGGAACCGGCCAGGGTCAATCGCGCGGAAACACCATCGTCAGTCTCCTCGAGATCCGACAATGTGTATCCTGCCAGGTTCGCGCATGTCAATGTAAACGGAACTGCTTAAGGTAGAATCAATCCAGTACCTACCGGGACACGAAGACACATTCATCAATGGCCAGGAGTCATCGTGGCTTCTCAGAGCAGCCACGCGTTGTTCAAGTGACGATGATCCTCTGGCCACAACACCAGCGCAGAATATGATGGAGTACGCGATCCAGAGCACGATCATAGTGGACGGAGCGACGGGTAACTCTACCGACGACGCAGACGCAGCCCTTTAAGAGATGGTTCGAAGTTAGCGCGTTGATTTGCCGCATTGCGAACGACAGCACCTACAGCCTGCAGATGCGCTTGGGAACAAGAAGCGACTTGTGGGTCTTCTGACTTGGGCATGCCGTCATCAGCATGGATCAGGAGGGCCGCTGCCGCCTTGAAGAACACCGGAGGTGCCGTTCTACCAGAAACATGGATAGAATGAGAAGCCGTTTCGAGCCCACCTAACTCCGTGAGCTTGGTAGCAGTTGGGTAGCAGGGGCAGAAACACGTCATAAGCGCTTGTCGAAGGGCGGGCGGGTTGCTGACTAAGAATGGCACACGATCAATAAATCACGTGACCACGATGAGCATTCGACGCCATTGAACTTCAAAGCTTCGACTGTGACTCCTCGCGACGCGTTCTCGGGATCACCGTCCTCACCATTCATGAGCATTATTTCGCGTTAAACGTCGGCCCAACGACGCCCTCGGCTTCCTCAAGCAGAAATTCAAGCTCAGACGATCCTGATGACGCGGGCTGTGAATGCGGCGCACCCTTCACCGACACTAGAAGAGCGAGGAGAAGAGCGCGGTGCCGCTCTTGTTTGTTCATGGTTGTGAGCGCCTTTCGGTTCTTGCGCGCACTATACAAGAGTCGTGAACTAAGATGCGACTCCGTTATGTTCCAGGCCCGCAAGATGCTGCCGTTGCTGACTCAGAAGTCGGAGGAGCACCCCAGCTTTCACGTCGTTGCGTTAAGCCTGCCTGGATTCTGCTTCTCAGAGGCTCCAAAGAAGACAGGTTTCGGGGGACGCCGATACGCCGATGTCGCAAACAAGCTAATGGTCAGCTTGGGATATGACAAATATGGTGCGCAGCCCAGCCCCGGCGCCGCCTCAACGTGTCTTAGTCGTTCAATGAGGTGATTGGGGACTCGCCGTGCGTACTTGAAGTCTGGAAACCCGTGCTTTCAATCGTCCTGTAGGTTCAGCCATTCTGTCCAAGTATTACGCCCATAAGCACCTTCAAGCGCGGCTCTCCAAACTCGCTATGTGAGCCTCACATTTCCGTCTCTGGGTTACTGAATGTGTTCATAGAGGAACGCCTCCGCCTCTAGCCAAGAGACATCTCCCATATCTGTTTGATCACGCCGTACACCGAAGCGGAGAAGAAGGGCCAGGCTGTAGCGGACAAGCAACTCCCCCGTCGGGCTCCTCGCGTGTATATATGAGAAGCTGACGACGTCGGCTGGAGCGACCCGTATCTGTGGGAGGGCGACCAAGATGAGCACCCTATCCCCCGCCTGCAGCCAGCCGAAAAATAACAGCGACCTGTACTCGGAAACAAACGACAGTGCTCGAGTGGGTCTTCATCTGCTGGTTCTCGCGCGGGCCCCCGCGTCTGAGGTCTCTGAGGATCTACCGGAGCCGACGGGCCTACTCCCCGATGGTACGCGCGGAGTGGACGTCTATCCAGTTCTGTGTATCCTACTTCAAAAGACGTACTCGGCCGCTCCCTGCGCAAGCTCCTTCAGGCTGTCGGAAATTCAAGTTCGAGTCGAAACAGCACGAGAAGGGCGGACATTCCGCGGCGTACGACGTTCTGGAGGCGCTGGTCGGGGACATCCGCAAGTTCTTCGGGAAGAGTGGGGCAGATTACGGAGTTATATAGGGTCGTAGTAGGTACGCTCGAGCGCGCCCAGCGTGTTGTGCATCGGAGTATTCGCGAAGGGTCCTTCACCTGGTCATTGTATCGGAGTCTCAATTAGGTGATGTATTTAGTGCCAGTTTTAAACTCCGATATCCACGTCATTCGTCGCCGATTCATCAATTTCAACTCGAACCGAACGTCCGTCCTCGTGAAAATATTGATCCCACCGAGCTCTAGTAGGCTCTAGTCCATCTGTCCATACGCCACCCCTTACCTGCCCAAGGGAAACTCCGCCCCAGCTCGGTGGTTTCTCGGTGAGTCTCACTGCGCTCAACTCCGAAGTTAAGCATGACAGTTTTCGATGACGCCCATCCCCAGGGTTGCTACTACTTCGCTCGCTGGGTGTACCTCTATCACCGAGGTTTATCCTTCGCTGGTTTCTCGACCTCGTTCTTTCAATCTGATTACAGACAACCGAAACTGTTCTCACGAGGTGGCGTAATCAGCACGCCAGCCTCGACCAAATCATGCATTGATTCTCGTCGGAGGGTGCTCAATGCTCACTCAGCGCATAGGTAGTTCCAGGTCTGGTTTTCAGCTTAATATCTCGCTTTGTTGCTCACGCCGTCGTGTGTGTTGTTCTAATAGTCCTCTAAAGCTTATTAACCTTGATTTTCTGGCACCAGCACTAGAGAAGAGGTCCTACCGCGATTTGTTCCACACCCCTGGATTACCACTCCAGTACCGACAAGCGGAACATGTCCGAATAGTTGAATCGGTCATTCTTGAAGACGAAAGGTTATTTTCTCCATAGCATCATGAAGTTCAAGGTTAAATGATCGATATCGTCAGATTCAATACTCATTTTGCTTTGCAACGCTTCAACACATCCCAACGCTCGGGCTTTCTTCGGCGTTCCGAAGCGCGTCCCCGCACCCACATCGCGTCACCGATGCCTTCAACCTCTAACGTCTATCTAGAAGGCGTGAGTGTTCTTCTACACACGACTTGTCGCCTTGCTTAAGCTGGAGGTTTCTCCGAGTTTTCTCCTTGTTGAGATCCCTCGTCTGCGTCCTCCCATTACGATATTGCCGCTGACCCACTGGTTCTCCACTTCTCTCATCAGTGTCTCCGGAAATTTCTTCTCACCTCAAGGACTCAGGAAGCTGACGACCGGACTTTTATTAGCCGATCCATCTTCCCTCGTGGCACATGAACGAACGCCATGCGACTTGGGTAAGAGAACCTTCCGCATAGTGCTCGGAAGAGTCCACTCGATGCTGATGCTGATTGTCAAAACGTGACTACAGGGATTCACCCCTTGTTCCTGCGTATCGGCGGCACCAGTCCGTTTCGCGCCGCCGCCGGCCAGGTCGCCGTTGTCGAAGTTTGGCTCAAACTCACTCTTTGGATTTCTCGCCTTTTTGCCCTCCCTTCCAGCACATCTCGTCGCCGGGCCGTAGATTCCAATCTCCGACTATCCCATGCGGCCGCGTCGCCCGTGGAACGCCCCATCAAACCTACCTTACCTCGGAGCGGCGTCGAGCGTGGCCCTCGGTCGGCGATCCCATATCCAGCCCCTCCGACCATCGCACGAAGCCCACGCAGGAGAACATCTTTGTCTCGGTGCTTGCAGAAGCCGCAAACATGCCGCTCGACCGCCGTGTGGGATCACCTCTGCCGAGGTTGGGGCACGTCGCTCTCTGTCCCCGTCCTCCTCATGGCACAAGACCACCGTTCGCTTGGCCCGTGATGTCAAGCTTCAAGTCTCGACCGACGGCCCACCGGCCCTGCGGCCACCCCGTACCTCGCCACCCCACCCAGGTCCCTGCGCCTCGTACGGCAGCGCGCCCGCCCTTCTCGCCCTTCCCCTTCCTCCACCACGCCGCCCGGTCGTGCCTCTCACGTCGCCCATCAGCTGACGGCCGCCACGCACCCTCCGACGGCGACGTTCCTGCGCTCACAGCACGAACAAGCGAAGACACCCCGGCCGCTGCTCTCCTGACCTCCGCGCGCGCCGTCGCTGGACGCTTTCCTGCCGGCAAGCCTCTTCCGACGCGGGGCTTCGCCAGCGTCGCCGGTGGAGCTCGTGCCGATACGACGCGCGCCGCCGGGTCCTCTGGCGTCCTGTTGAGCGGCCGGCGCCCCACGGGCAAGGCACCCCGGTCCTTCTCCGCCTCTCGCTCCACCCGCCGCGGCCGGCGGCGCACCGAGCTCGCACAAATGCCTCGCTCGCCGACGTCTCGGCGCGGTTCCCCTGCGAATGTTTCAGCATCGAGTCCGGGGTCGACTTCTCCGACGAAGCAGCGACGTCGGTAGGGGAAGTCGATGCTCTTAGGTCAAGTGATCGAGGAGGCTGCCGCCTGGTCCTCGGCCTACGTATGTCGATGGCACTCGGGCACGGTGCTCCTAGGCGGATGTTGTATTGTATAGCGTAACCACATCTTCCGCGAATTTCCCCGGGAGAGGCAGTTCGCGTCTTCCAGCTCAGCGGCCGCGTGGCTCGAGACGGCTCGTCGCGGCTTTTTGGCTTCGCGCGTCGAGACGGGTGTGAAACGCTTCGTTTCCGCGTTCCGTCCCCCACTCGAACTGGTAACCGCCGTCGGTCGAGCGTCCCACGCTGTCGTAGACCTACCACTAGCCACACCGAAACGGACACGAGCTTCACGCCGCATGCGGACACGGATCCCAAGCACGGGTTCGAAGCTGCATGAGGACACGGTCGGATTACACGCGAGATACAACAGTGCGGAACGTGCACGTCCAGGCTCGCCTCCGTCCCGACGGTGCGGTGCCCGAGACCCCGGTGGCCCGCGAGCCCCAGAAGCCCTCCGCGGAACATCCTCGTATCCACCCACACGCCCTCACCGTCGTACGCCCGCCGTCCCGCTCCCCCGGGAGGGGAGCTCAACCGCCGCCGTCATCCCCGTCCAACACGAGAGTCGCGCGCGCGCGCGCGCTCACAGCCGGGGCTTGATCATGCGCGCGACCGCGTCCGGGTCGAGGACCGCGGTCGGGTACGGGAGCTGCATCCCGCGCACGTGCTCGCACGCGCCGTCGACGGCGAAGACCTGGCCGGAGACGTAGCGCGCGGCGGGCGAGAAGAGGAAGACGGCCGCGTTCGCGACGTCCGCGACCTCGCCGTCGCGCCCGAGCGGGTAGTGGAGCCCGTACCGGTCCGCGTCGGGGCCCTTGGCGCTCAGCCGGTCCATGCCCTCCGTGCCGCCGATGGGCCCGGGCGCGAGCACGTTCGAGCGGACGCCCTGCGTGAGACGGTGGGGGAGGGAAGGGGGGTGGGTGTGGGTGTGAGTGCGCGGCGGTCGAAGTAGAAGCGGGGGGAGACTCACGTGGGGGCCTTCCTCGACTGCGAGCACCGCGGAGGCTGGGAGAGGAAGACGGTGAGTTCCCGAGAACTGAGGCCCGTCGCCGAGGGCTCCCACTCACTCGCGTCCACGGCGGCTTTCGCTGCGGAGACGTGCACTTGGTACGGGGTGCCTGTGGTGGCGTCGGTCAGAATGGTTGCGGCTGCACTGCCCTGAGGGGCGGGGTGCGCCCGGACGTACCCTTCCAGTGCAGGGTCGCGCTCACGTGGATGTACGACCCCTTCGAGGCGCGAGTGTGGGGGAGCGTCGCCTTGATGGTGTTGTACGTCCCAATCTGTTCGCACGTCGGACATCAGCTCGGCGCGCCTCTACGTTCACCCGCGGGAGACCGTGCGCACCGCGTCGATTTCGATAACGGTCTTGAAGCCATTCTCGGACAGCCTGGAGATCGGCGCGAGGAAGTTCCCAGCCGCACCTGGGTAAAGTGTGGAAGCAGCGATCAGTCCCAGGAGCTGTGCGTGCCAAAGGAGAAGACCGACCGCAGATGACGAAGTCGATTCTCCCAAACTTTTCGATCGTCTTTGCAACCGCATCCTGGAGCTGCTTCGGCTGTCTTACGTCCGCCTGGGTCGCGAGGCATTCCTGCCCGGTAGCAGCCGCGAGCTCTTTCGCGGTTTCCTGGAGTCGTTCAAGCCTGCCAAACAAGTGGATTTTAGACGATACGACGCTCCAACGGCGGAATACGCACTTGCGGCCAACGATGGTGGCGTTCGCACCGTGCCTCATCTGAATGACAAGGAGGTCAGCTTATTAGAGGCATTGAGCTTGCGGCTGCTTACGATCGCTTCAGTCATGCCCTTGCAAATGCCAGAGCCGCCACCGGTGCAGAAGAGCACCTTGCCCTTGAAGATGTCTTCCTTGAAGACCGAGGTGGATTTCGCCGCAGCCGGTTCAACATACGGTGCGACCATGTTGGGTACAGTGTTGGTTGGAGGTGAAAGAGAAAGGAAAAGATGCTGCGCTGTCGTGTTGATGCACCGCGCTGGGAGATGCGCTTGCCGAAGGCTGCGCTCGGCCCCGGAACTGAGAGTTGCCGGATATGTGCGCCTATTTGCCACGGGGCCGGCGGCAGTAAAAACTCCCTTTTACGCTCTTTCTATCACCAACTCCACCTGGGTTGAGACTTTGCAACGTCTCTGCCTCTTGCTTGTAACGCTGGGTAAAACAGGTTTATCGGGGGTACTTTGAAAGTGCTTTACCGTCTTTCTTCAGGCTTATCAACCGTGTACGTTCGGCCTAACTCACTTCAGCTCATCTCCTTCCTCACAGCAATGACACAGGCCCTCGGCATCAATGCCACTGAAGAGCAATAGTACGCATCACGGCCCCTAGATACCAAAGTTTCCGCTGTTTCCGACGCTCGTTACGACCGCGGCGCTCCCCGGACCCCACCCCCGCCCCCGCCGCCTTACTCGTTCGAGCAACTGGCCACCGTGCGCGCGAGGAGCGAGAGCGATCGGTACCTCAACCGTCGAACTTATCGAGATAGCGTCGCGCCGCCGCGTATTTCGCTCCTCCACTGTATGTCATCAATCGCCCCGGACTCTGAATCAGATCTGCACATCCCAGCGGGCTTATCCGCGCCCCCCTCCCGCGCGGGCAAACGTTCAACCTCGAGCCGACTGAACTGTCGCGTTGTGTGCGCACGTCCGTCGGCCCGAGCGGCGTTGTTGGTCCACGGCACGATACATACGCAGAACGCAGGAGCTGTGCCCGCGCGGGCGCCGACGCTAACCTCCCCCTCTTCCAGATCGTTCTCCCGCCGTGACGTGCTCCACGCCCCAGCCGCGTGCCCGTCGGCGGAGGTACGCCCGCGCGCACTCGCGCCGTCGGACGGGGCCACGAAGCAGCCCTCGAAGACCCGGCGCGGCGTAGGCGCCGAGAGCGCGACATTGTCCTGGGATCGGTCCCACTTCTCCTTCTCCGAGGACGGAGCTCGCGTTCAGACGCGCCCCTGGCAAAGCTTTTGGGCCGGGAGTCGACGAGAAGGCCCCCGGTGGGAGCTCGCCCCTCTCCTCCAAGAGGCAAGCGAGTCCGCCCCCGGCCGCGTCGCGTCCCACGTCCGTGCGGACCATGCGCGCTTCCTGCGCCCACCGCGCCCACCGCCGAGGACAGGCTCTGCTGCCGCGACGTTAACATTTAGGCATGGGTCCGCGGGCGATAGAGCGGCGGCGCAGCCGTCCGTCGCGCATGCGCACGCCCGAGAACGTGCTCCTTCGGGCCCAACTCTCTCATGCGAAGCCCTGCGCGCAGCGCCGGCCCCGGAGGTCAGTCCACCGCCGCGTCTGCCCGCGCACTCGCCCAGCAGCAATCCGTTAGGCTTCGCCAGGGAGCGGGCAGGATCTGCTCGTCTGCATTGAATCCCGTCTCCAGCCCGGGCCCTCTGCAAATCCTCTGCGCGCCTTCCGTGGAAGCCCCCCGAGGGGACTCGGCCCCAGCGTGCGCCAACGCCGCGATCCGGGACTCTCCGCCCCGAGCGCAGACGCACGACGAGCCGTAACCGCGAACGCGACCCCGGCGCGGCACGCGCACGACGCGTCCCCCCATGCGCACCGGCACCGTCAACAGTCGCACAAGCACTCCGTCTGCGCCCGCGTCGGGTCGGAGGATCGGAGGATGTCGCACTCAAGCCAGCCCCGTGCGCTCGCCGTCCGCGACGCTGAAGCTGAAGGCCGCGCATGGACGACCCTGCAGTGCACGCGCGGGGGGACGCTGCGAGCCGCGTGCGCGCGCAGCAGGTGCTGCCGCCCGTCGCCCGCGAACGCCGTTCGGTGCTGCGCCGCGCCGCGCCTCTCGGACCGCCTCGTTTCGCGCGTCATCGCCCCGGCCTCACCGCGCACCGCGCGCTGGCTAGCTTTCTGCACGCTCCAAGTCCCGAGTCCCGAGTTCCAAGCCCCGAGTCCAAGTCGCAAGTCCAGGTCCGCCGCAAAGCAAACCGGCGCTCGTTCCACCCACCCGACGACCGATGACCGATGGCCGATGACGATGGATGGGAAACAATATTTGGGATGCACCGGCCCAGAAGCCCGCGGGGCTCGGGTTCCATCCACCCCGCAGCCTGGAGGACGACGGAGGTACTGCACCCCCGCCGTCCCCGACTCGCGCGCGCAGACCGCAGCCAAGCCTGGCGGATCGCGACGCGTGCGGCGACGGAGGCGCGCCTGACCGTGCCGGACGCGGCCTTGCAAGGGACCTGTCGGAATTCCACGCGCGGCGCACGTCACGCAGCGCTCGATCGCGAGACGAGCGCGCGGCGGACGAGTCCTGCGTGCTGAGTCGTGACTGGGGTCGAGAACACGTACGCACGTACGCACGCACGCACGCACGACGCAAGGGTCTGGCCAGCCCGTGCACCTGCACCTGCACCTGCGCACATGCTGCCCAGCGGCAGAGGGGATAACCATGACAGGGAAGACGTGTCCGAGGGCGCGCGCGCGGGTCACGAGACGCCCCGCGGGCGACGGGCCGCGGCGGCAGCGGGGGATGACTCGAGGTCGACGACGGACACTCAGAGAGCGGGGCGGGGGGGGGGACGGTGCGATGTGCATAGAGCTGATAGAGGATAGCGTGCTACGGGCGGGGGCGTGGTACATTGTATAAGTGATTGCGGGCGGACCTGTGTACGTAGAGACGGAGAACGACGGGAGACGAGCAGAGGAGGTCCGGGAGAGCAGCGATCCGAGAGCGTGGGCGAGCAACGATGGGGAGGAAGCGAAAGTGAAATCCGTGTAGTGAGTGCGAACAAGAGGGCGGGGCGGGGGGAGGGTGGGGGGTTGAGGGAAGTGGACAGGGGAAAACGGGGTGAAGGTTAGAAGAAGAAAGACGACAAGGGCGACCATCGCGAGCCCGCCATTAGTCCATGCATGAGTGAACTACAGTATCATATACAGAGAGGAAGCACGGACGCGCGTAGGCCAACGAGACGCAGGACGCACACGAAACCGCGAGGGGGGCCCGTGAGAGGCCCGAGCGACGGACGGGGCAGAGGCGAGGCGAGGCGAGGCGGAGCCCCCCCGTCTCGGACGAGCACAAGGGCGAGCGGCGCGGGGAAGACGGGCGAACCACCCCCAGCCCCGGGCCACGCGCGTGCGCGCGCGCGGCGGAGGGGGGCGCGGAGATCTATCAGACCTCGCAGAAGCCCCGGCAGCTCGGGCGCAACTCGGACTCCGTCCCCCCCCCTCCAGCCCCAAACTCCAAACTTCAGGCTCCGAGGACCGATCCCCAATTCCGCCTGGTCCCCCCCTAGCCTCGCCCTGCACGTCCTCAGCGCCCCCCGAACCGGTCGTCCCAGTAGCTCGCGAGGTTCGCGGCGGCCGCGGCGGCACTCCGCGGCGCGCCGTCCCCGGCGCCGGGGGACCCCTGCTGCATCGGCGAGTGCGCAAAGGGCGAGACGAGGCCGGCGCGCGCGCCCTGGCCCGCCGCCGTCCGCGCCGCGCCGTACTGCGACCACGGGCCCGCGGGCGAGAACGGGCTCTGGCTCTGTCCGTGCCGTGTGCGTGTGCGTGCCCGTGCCGTGCCCGTGGTGGGACGGGTGCGCGGAGTGCGAGTGGGAGGATACCTGGTGCTCGGCGGACGGCCGGCGGCCGGCGCCGGTGAGGCCTCCGGGGGAGTAGAAGTCCGAGGCGGGGGACGAGGCGGCGGCGGCGGCGGCGGCGGCGGCGAGGTCCATCGCCTTCGTCCCCGGGGACTCGTGCGGGAAGAAGGCGGAGGTGAGGGTCGGGAACGCGTTCGGCGGGTTCGGGTTCGGCGTGTGCGCGCCGCCGTAGCCGGCGGAGGACGAGGAGGAGCTCGTCGACGTCGCGCTCGACCACGGCCGCGCGGGCACCTGCGGCGAGTACGGGTCCGGCTTCGTGTGGTGGACCGTGGCCGTTGCCGAGTCCGGAGGCGGGTGCGCCGGCAGCGGCGGAAACAGCGGACCGACGCGAGGGCTGTCGCCCGGCGACGGAGGACATGTCGAGCGCGGGCAGGACGGGCCAGTTCGCGCGCGCGGCGGGGTCGACGGCGCCGCTGCCGCTGCGCGGGCGCTGGTCCCAGAGGCCGTACAGCGACGACGACGACGACGTCTGCTGCGGCGCCTGGTGGTGGTTTTGGTGGTGCGGGTAGAGCGAGTGCGGGCCTGCCGAGGACGCGTACGCGCTCAGGCTGCTGAGGTCGCCCATGCCCCCGCGAGGGGGGTGGAAGTCGGACTGGTACGGGTACGAGCACCCGCTGCCGCCGCCGCCGCTTCCGGCGTGGGAGTCCTGCCCGAAGCCGGCGAGGGACGCGTGCGCGGGCGGGCGGGTGTACTGCGCGTCTTGCGGGGAGGGCAGCATGAGGGCGTCGTCGCCGTCGACCGGGGACGTCTCGTCGTACCCGGGGTCGTCCGGGTCGAGCGCGGTGCCGCCGTCGGGGCCGTCGTCGTGGCTCGGCTCGGGCTTGCGCTTCTTGCGGGAGTTGTTCGGGCGGCGGCGGTAGACGTAGTCGGGGTACTTTGAGTTGAAGTTGTCCTTGAGCTTCTTGGCCTGGTCCAGGTAGAACTTTTTGTCCGACTGCTCGCGCGTGTAGTAGACGGGCGTGGGCGTGGGCGTGAGGAGAGTTCCGGGCGCGGGAAGTTGAAGTTTTGGGCGACGGGAGAGGAGACCGAAAGCAGGGTGAGCGGACGGGCTCGGGGAGAGAGACGGGCACGGACCATGTCCATCGCGTTCCACTCCTTGGAGAGGATCTTGCTCACGTCGCCGGTGCGCATCATCTGGTTCGCGGCCGAGATCTGGGGGCGGCGCTTGCGGGCGAAGATCATGAACGCGTTCATCGGTCGCTTCGGCGTCCCGTCCGCGTTTAGCGTCTGGGACGTGAGCGCGTGGTACGGGTCGTCTGTACTCCCCGTCGAGGTCGCCGCCGCCGAATCCGTCGAGGTAACGACAGCGGATGGAACGCACCAGACAGACGAGGGGAAGAACGCGCATACAGTCAGCGCCCCCCGCCGCTTGCGCACGAAAACGCAGAAAATAGAGAAAACACGCACCAGGTCCGGGCTGCGCGCCCTCGTCCGCGCCAGGCTCGGGGAGGGCGTTGAACGCGGCGCCCGAGGACGCCTCCGAGTCCGCGGGGGACCCGTCCCGCTCGCGCTCGGCCCTGGGCGGCTCCTCGGCGCCAGCTGCAGGGGCGGGAACGGCGCGCCTGCGTGGTAGCGGCTCATCGAGGGGGCGAGAACGGCGACGGCGGGGGAGGGGACGAGAGCGAGGGCTGCTGTGGGGGAAAGTACGGCCGCCACGGTGGACAGTGTGGGTGCGGGTGCGGGTGCGGGTGGGCGCGGGCGCGGGGGAGAGCTCGAGGGTGGACGAGAGAGGAAGGAGAGAGGGAGCGGTGGTGGTGGTGGTGGCAGAGAGGACAGAGGCGGAGCGAGGCGCGCGGAGGCGGCGAGCACGGGCTGCGGCGTGCGCCGGGGCGGCGGAGCGAGAAGCTGGAGCGGGGGCGTGGGCGGACGCGCAGAGAAGCGGCGGGGCGAGGCTCCGGGGCAGGCGAGCGTCCTGGACGGCGATCGAGGGCGGGCTCGAGCTTTGCGGCTGAGGCGGCTTCGTGCGAGCGAGCGTGCGTGTGCGGGCGGAGGAGAGGCAAGGCAGCAGGGCGAGGCGAGGCGGTTGGGCGGGGGGCGCGGCGCGGCTCGTGCGTGCGCGGCGCGGGGGAGGGCGAGGGCGTTATAGGTCGGCTCGGAGGAGGAGGTGAGAGAGCGAGAGAAGCGGCGCGCAGAGAACGCGGGCTCGAGAACGCGGTAAAAGGCCGCGTGCGCCCGTCCCCGGCACTGAGCGTGCCCCCCGCGAGCGTCCGCCCATGCCGCGGCGCCCCCGGCCCTGCCTCTGCGCCTGCGCGGGCGCGGGGCGTGCGCGACGAGCGGCCGGGCGGGCGGCGCGTCGAGGTCGCGGAGGACGCTCCGAGCGTGGACGGTGGCGGACAGCCCGAGCGGCCGGCCGGAGGACAGGCACCTGCGCCGGCGGGATTTCGCCCTTTCGCCCCCGCCCAGATCTGCCTGGCGAGTTTGCCTTTTTAGATTCGTCCAGACTGGCGGTCTCCTGCTTTCGGCTAGCCGTGATCGCGCGCGTCGCGCCCCCCCGCTTCTCCCGTCACAAGCCCCGCGTCCCATGATCTGCCCCCCGCTCCCTCTGCGCGCGCGCGCGCGCACGTCGGGACTCGGCCGTCCCCAGCGCGGTCCTCCTCCGCGGCGCCCCCGTGCGGGCGACGGGAGGGGCCGTGGCAGACGGCACAACGACGCCCGCGCCCCACATGACCCCGCGCCGACTCGAGCTTTTTCCAAGTTCGCGCCTGATGTCGATGCGAGCCTCTGCGATCCGCCGACGGTCGAGGCCCGCATCGCCTCCCCCGCTGCCGCTGCCGCGGACGCAGACGCCGTGGCCAGGCGGCTCGATCGCGATCGAACGCGTGCGCAGGGCAGATCGAGCGCGTCGGCCCTGCAGGTGTGCGGCGATGACAATGTCCTTGAAGTTGGATGTCGTGGCCGTGACGGTACTTGCTGGTCGAGATGCTCGTCGGCCCACGCACGGACAGCAAGACGGCGCACTACGTCGGCGCTCGGGCGGGCTCTCCGCAGAAGCAGTCGTCGCCGCGTCGCGTGATCGGCGGACGCAGAGTCTGCACATGTCCGGCGGGACGGACGTCGACGGAGGGTCGAGCGGCGGGCGCGCACCGACACCCGCGCGCCGATACTTACCCGATGCGCACCGTGTCCGTGTGCGCGACGTGCACTCGCTCTTGGCTCGCGCCTCTTCAGTGCCTACTTACCGCCCTCGTCCGCTGCTGGTGACGATGAATTCGTGCCAGAGCTGTGAGTATCTCCGTGCCCTCGTCCGCTGCGGCGGACGTCGATCCGCCGCTGATGCCGTCCGTCCTGACGTCCGCACGCCCAGCGGCGGCGAGGGCCGGCCTGCGCGCGGCGGTGGCGAGCCGTGTGACGGCATCCATCCAGATTCTGCGCATGGCAGCGGTAGCAGCCGCCAGCTGCGGGCGCACGACGTGCACCGCGCGCGAGAGAGACAGCGGCAGCGGCGCGCTGATGCGCCCGCGCGTGCGCCCCGGGCGCACCGTGGACATTGCAGGAACGGAGAACTTGATGGACGGAGACGGGTGCGCACGACGCAGACGTGGCGGCAGCGCGTGGCGAGTGCCAGCATCGTCCGTCGAAGGCCGAGCCCAGCGTGCTTGAGCTTCGAAGTTCTTGGACGCGAGAGGCGGGGGGCCCGGGCGAGCGGACGGGCGCGCGCGCACCTAAACTGACGCGAGCGGCCGTCGTCAGCCGCTGATGGGACAGCAGACGCAGACGCAGAGCTCGACGTTCGCTGCGGGGGGGCGGGAGATTGGCACGGGCGATCGAGAGCAGCTGTGGACTGAATGGGCGCGAATGAATGGGCGAGGGATTGTGTGCGTCGCTGTCGCCGCGCGGGGCGCGAGTGAATGCGCGCGAAACCCAGCGAGGCGCGAATCCGCGGGCTAGAAGGTGCGTGCAAGAAGGCGACACGAGCGCAGACTGAATGAGGACGCGGACGCGCGGGGGAGAACGATGAGCAGAGGCTATCCGACGGCGGCGAGCCCCGGCGCGGGCCCCCCGCCATTCAGTCATTTACAGCCCACCGCGCTCGATCAACAGGCGTCCCTCGCGGGAGGCCTCCAACTGAATCGCCGGCCCAACCACACACGACGCACTCCGCACGTCCTTTGAACCACCGCGAACAGTCCAGTGTGCCAGCCCTCGTCCACGTCCGCTCCAGGTCGCTGGGCCTGGGGCGCGTTAACAACACACACCGGCGAGCGAGCGCTCTCCGGCCCCCTGCGCCTGTTCGCGACATCTTCTCCCAGCCCTCTCGCTCGCGAGGCGCAGCGCCCGGGCCCAGGAGAGGGAGAGGAAGAGGAAGGGGGCGTCGCAGGCCGCCGCGCGAGGACGTGGTGCCACCGCCCGTGTCGCGACGCTCTGTTCCCGCAGGGCCCGCCGCTTGGGATGGGATGGGCCGGAGAACGCCGGGGTCGAGTCGATGGACGTCCTTCGTCGAACGCCGTCTGATGATCCAGATCCCCGACTCCCGAGCCCCGTGCGGACGTCTCCGCGACCTCCCGCCGCCGCCGTCGTCCGCTGGGGGCGACTGGCAGGCGACTGGCATGGCGACGGCGGGGCATCGAGAGAGACGAGAACGGACGGGGTCGAGACCCGACGAGCGCGAGAGCAGCCGCGGCGAAAACACAGGGAAGAACGCAGAAGCAAGGGGAACAGGACGGACGCACGTCACGAGCCGCTCGCCAGCTGGCGGCCCTTCCAATTTCTGATCCCCCGTCGCCCGCGTCGTCCGCAAACTCCAGTCCCGGCTCGCGACTCGCGCGCCAGGCGGGCCCCTCGACCTTGATTCCGTCGACCGGCTGCTGCGCGCATCTGCCGGGGCGTGTGACGGTGTTCGTCTGGGGCGGGCGTCGGCGTCGGCGTCGGCGTTGGAACGTACGCGTGAGATCTCGAGACGCGGGCGAGTCAGGGCGAGGGCGAAGACCAGAAGAGGAGCTTCAAGCAAAAGCGCCCGTCCCGACCAAGTTCGAACCCACCCAGGGCACGTACGGTTCCGCCCGGCCGGGTCGCGGCTGCCGCCGCGTCTGCGTCGGCGCCACGTGCACGCGCGCCTCCGTTGCGGTAAGTTCTGCTCTCGACCTCCCGACCTCTCTCACACTCGGAAGACGACGACGACGACGACGACGCCGGTGCGCATTTGTTGCCAGCGCGCCGCAGCGAAGTCCCCTTGCCCCGGCGGCGGTGGCCTGGCCTGGCCTGGTCGCGATAGGTGGAGCCGAGAAGCAAAGCTCGCCAGCTGGATGATCTGCACGCACGGCTAACCCAGGAACCCTTCCCTCACTTCCCCGCGGTCGCCGCCGCCGACAGATGCCAGCTGCTCGTGCCTGCGCTCGTGCGCTCGGCTGCTGGTGGCCCGCACCCAGGCTTCTAGCTTCGACCCCGCGCCCCTCCACTCGGACGTCGCAGCACGACAGCTTCGCGGTCGCGGTCACCGCCACGGCGTCCTCGACGCTCACCGCGAGCTTGAGCGCATTCGATCTCGACTCGGGCTCCAATGTTCGGGCGCTCATTGGCGGACGGAACCCAACCTTACTTGCAGAATAGACGCTCGGCGTTCTGGCTCAGCGCTTGTCTTTCGATCGATGACGTCGTTCGATCGCGCCCCTCCCGGACCGTTGTGGCGCCCGCTGGTCCCCAGACCCCCCATGGCCAGCTGCAAAGCAAGACGCCGCGGAGACATCGATAGCGTCGCGCGCCGCATCGGTGCGCCTGGAGCTTCGTGCCAGCGTCCGTCGCTATCGCGAACGTCCGTGCACGCGGGCCGCGCGTCCCGCGAGGTACTTAGGTTATGCTACCGAGCCTCGGCGAGCGCGCGCGCGCGCTGCCCCGCGGCGAACAATTCCCTCGCGGACGCGCGCGCGCTCGGCGCGCTCCCGTCCCACCGGCCGGCATTGGCGCGGACGCACAGGAGGCCAACGTCGCCGCGCATCCCGGCGTCGAACCCCGCAGTGTGAGATCGTCGGCCGCGCGCGCACGAATTCGACTACGGAGCCGAACAAGCGTGCTTGAGTTTGAGGATTCATTAATATTGATGATTAATCGATCAACCGTTGACGTGCCCTCGTTGGAGCGCACGCCCGATTCCCAGGGCTCTTCCCCGGCGGGCGCGGGCCGCGCCCACAGCAGGAAACCGCGCTGCCGGGATGGGTCGAGCGCGCGCCGCAGTCTATCGACTCACCTCTGCGCATCCGCGGCGGCATCGGGCCTCTCGCGTCAACCCGCCTTCGCTCCGGCCGCGCGGGAGAACGGGGAAAACATACACATCAAGAGTTCAGCTCGTCAACTGCAAGTCGTACCACGGTCCCGCGCACGCCTACGCAAGTGGCCAGTGAGCGTTCCCGTCGCAGACGTCGAGGATCTGTCAACGTGTCGTTCACGTCGCTGTCAACCCCGCGCGGCGCGCGTGCCCGCCCCTCCCCCCGATCCGCGTTACGGCAGGCCCACCAGCGGCCTGTCCAGCTCAGGTGCGCCAAGCCCGAGCCCGCCCGCCGCGAGGCTGTACTTACCGCCCGCGGTGAGCGTGAACGTACGTCCACACTTTCGTCCACCGCAGCCCGTCGCAGAGCGGGCAGGAGGGTCGGGGGATGGGCCCGTGGTAGGAGTTACGATATTGCCGAGGCACCGTGTGCTGCTACGGGCCCGCGGTCGTGTCGTATTTTCCTCCGCGTTGGAACGTCGTGTGCTGCGCCACGGCCGTGCAGGGAAACCTTCACGGCTGTGGGGAACGAGGAGGTCGACGCCACCGTGCCAGTTGACGCCAAGGCGTGCGCTCGCTGCAGTCGCGATGCCACCCCCCGCACGACCCGCCGCGAACCATCCCAACCCTTGCGGAGAAATGTGCACGGGCGCGACACGGACGCACATATACACGCCTCGTGCGGGCAGGGTGGACAAACGTACGTGTGACGGCGCGAACAGCGCGACCCGCGACCCCCGTGACCAGCGCCACATCTGACAGCGACGTCCCGCTCACAGCTCACCTCAGCTCATCTCGCGTTCGACTCGCATACCTGTTCCCATATACCGCCTCAAGCCCGCCGCGATAGGGAGGAGAGGGAAGGAGAGGCGACTGCCGCGGCGGCTCCGCACCGACAAGGCCGCGCGCGAACTCCGAGGCCCGAGGTCCGGCAGGCGAAAGTCCGACTGGGGCCCGCCCGCCGTGCGCACGTTATCGATTATCTGCCGTCGCGCGGGGCGGCTGAGAGCGGGAGGAGGAGGAGGAGGAGGAGGAGAAGGAGGAGGAGCGGATGGCTCGTGTGGCGGGGGGTCGGGGCGGGCTGCTGTGGGGGCGGGTCGGGATGGCGGGTCGCGGCTGGGTGGACGTTGGACGGCTGATTGAGGGCAGTGGTTCGGGACTGTGGGCTGGGGGTTCGGAGTAGTTGTGGCAAGGGTACAGCTGTACAGAGCGACTGTAGGGGACGGATCCAGAGGGGGGGGTGTTGGCAGTAGAGTGGGAGGGACGACGGGCGTCGTGCTACCAGCCGCTCGAACTAGCCGTCCCGTTTTCCCCGCCTCATGACTGGTTGATTTGTATTCTGAGTGCCCCCGGACCCCGGTGTATGTCGGACGTGTGGACGGAAACAGAACGTTTCCTCTTGACGTCAGCAGCGGCATATAGCCAGCATTCGCTCGATGAGAATCATTAAAAAGGTAACTGCACGCTGCGGTCGGAGCCCCCGGCAGCCATCTGCTAACGAGCTCGGCAGACACACTCACCGCTCGCACTACGGCCTTGAAGACGAGACGCGAAATGTAAGTACGAGTGCCACACGTTGTGCCCAATCGTCCGTCGAACGCCCACCGCCATCACCCCCCACCGCGCACCATGCAGGCTGCAGCACTCCGGGCCCCATGGCCACCTCCAGCCTGAAGACTCGAAAGCGTCGACGCAGCGCAGGACCGCACGCGCATGAACTGACCCAGGCCACTCCCGAGTGCCGAGGAGCTGGCGGCTCGTCGGGCGCGCGGCACATGACCGCGTCGTGCGGGGTATCAGCCGACGCAGTCACGCGCCGCGGCCTGCGCGCGAAAGAGGCGTTGGGGGGAAGCCTGCCTGGTCCCGTGTGCGGTGTCGTCGAGAAGGCGGCGGACGTCCTCGCGGGCTGGGCGTTCGACCGTCGCGGAACGGTCTGCGCGGTCTGCGGTCTGCGGTCGATCGGGGACTGGGCGGATGGCGCGCTCGGGCGACGGGGCGGGAGGCTGGGTGGAACGCCGACGTCGTTCAATTGGGTGGTTCGCCCGCCACGCGCGTGTGGGGTGTGGGGCCCGGCGAGCGAGCGTCGTGCGGCAGCCGGCCAGCTGCCGGATGGTGTGATGTCATGCGCGCGGGTGAAAAAAGCGACCGAGGGGGACGTACTGGGCTCGGCGCGCGTGCGAGCCGTGGGGCAAGCTGGCTCGAGCTGGTGATCGCGGAGCACCGAGTCGAGTGCCGGTCGGCCGTCGTCCTGCCTGGCCAGGTCCTTCCGCTGGCCGTCGATTCTGGCCGGCCTGTGTGCTGCGAGCACGGACTTCGTGCGGCGAGCCTGCGCCCGGCCCGAGCCCAGGTCGCGGGCCACATCCCGTCGCCTTCGTCTGGCTCTTCGGCACGCGTCCTGCTCGTTCCGCCCTTCCTTCTCGCACCCCGCCCGCTCCCCCGCACCCGTCGACGCCCTTCGCTCGCGGCCTGTTGTGCCAGATCCGCGCGCGAGCCAATCATCGCATGCTTGCACGTACACCGTGCGACGGGACGTGCGGCGCGACGCACCGTGCCCCGCTGCTTGAAGCTCGATCCGTGCTTCGCACCCCAAAGACGCCAGGCACCGGGCCCTGCCCCGCACCGTCGAAGCGTGGCGAAGTCGCAGGCCAGCCTCACTAGCACGGATCCCGAGCCCCGAGCCCCGAGCTCCGAGGTTGCGATCCCGAGTTCCAAGCCCCAAGGCCAGACCGTCCAGACGCGAGGGCGTGTACGGTCCTACCACCCGCCGGGCTCTGCGCGAGCCCGTTCGACGTGCACCTGGACTCGAGGACCCGGGCCCGACGTCCGGGGATCGTGGCGGCCGTCGAGGTTGGTGCGGACGCGCGCACGGTGGGTTTGTGTCCTGGAAGACGGATGCGATGGCGTGCGCGGTCTCCCCTCGACCGCGTTCTTCCATCCGTCAGTTGGCGCGAGGCGAGGATACGGCCCGGACGACAGACGAGCGTCGACGCGAAGCCCCGCCCAGGCACGCCGGCGCAGAGGCAAACCGGGGTGAAGTCCACCTAGGAAGGCCTGAGGAGCGCAGACAACGTTCTCCGGCCCCGATCGAAAGGCTCGCGGTCTGAACTCGCTCTCGACCTCGGATTTGACGTTCTGTACGTCCGAAATGTTCCCCAAGTCAGCCAACAATGAGGTGGAATCGATAGCGACACAACGCACCGCCCATGGCCACCTCCCAATCTCCCCCAGGCGCGCCTCCCGCCCTCTCCCTCCCTCCCGCACGGCCCGACTGCCCCCGCAGCGGCCTCGCGAGCGCAGCGCGCCCCTGCTGCACGCACCCTCCTCGATATTCCCGCGGCGTTGGCCACGCAAGCCGTTTCCTCTCCCTCTCTCTCCTCCCCCGCATTCTCGACCTCTCCCGCGTTCGTCGACCTTCTGCGCGCGAACCACCCCCGCGCGGGGCCTGGGACGCGGCACGGGGGGGCGCGTGCCACGGGCCTGCGAACGGCACGCGTCGACGGACTGCTGCCGCGCACGGGGGCCGAGGCGGGAGCGTGGACGTGGGCGTGGGCGTGGGCGCGGGCGACTCCGGAGGACCCTGCAGGGGAGCACGCCACCGCACCCAGATCGCGCGTCAGAGCCGGTCGCGGTTTGGCTTTTACGCGGGGCGAGCGCGCAGCGAGAGGGCTGGTCGACTGCCAACCAGGGAAACCCCGGGGCTTGTCGAGTGCACGGGGCCCCCTGTCGCCTGTCGAGGCAGTCAGTGCCGTGCGCCGGGAGGCCAGGCCACCAGGTGCCACCGCCATGCGTGCGCACTGGGGAGCAGGCACGGGGCGGGCCGCGTGACACGGACTTACCGCGTCGGACCTGACTGGCCTCTTTCTGTTTCGGTTTCTGCGTGCGGCCCCGCCGGCGTACGTGCGCGCGGGTGGGGTTTGCGCGGGCGCGTGCGGACGTGCTGGGAAGACGCGGGAACTTGGAAGGGGCGGGGGCCGCGCATGTGCATGAAGGCCTGACGTCTGCCGCGACCGGGCGGGCGAAGGCGAAGGCTGATCCTGATCCTGGGCTCGACGAGGAGAAGCGCGAGACGGGTCACGCGCGGCGCGACATTGTCCGCCAAGCCCGTCCTGCCAGCGTGCCGGCGGGAGGCTCGAGGTTCAAAGTTCGAGGTTCGAGGTCGGGGGCTGGGAAGCGCGAGTGCCGCGCCGGAACTTGGCCTGTGGTCCGGGCAACGACGTCAGCGCGTCCAGCTGGAGGAGTCCGGCCCCATCTGCGCCTGCTCCCATGGCCGCGCCTCGCGTGCTCCGCGGCGGCGGAGTGCACGGCTCAAGTTTCACGCTAGGGGTGATCGTGCGTGCGCCCCACGTCCGGCGGGCGCCGCGGCGTCGGGGGGGGGGGGGGACCCACGCGCTCGGCCAAAACAGCGTAAGAGAGTCGCAGGGCGCGGGGACACGGCCGCGTGCGACGCTGAGAACCGAGGGCGCAAGTGGGCGTGCTGGGGCCCGGGAGACGTAGAGGGCGGAAAGAGGAAAGACAGCGCGAGAGCGGGGATGCCGCGTCGGCACGTGTGGCCGCGCTGGCCAGAGGACCTGGATGGCGTTGGAGGCCCGGGGCGCCGGGCGGGCGTGCGTCCGCGGCCGCGAAGGTCGAGGGCGGCGGCTTCCTGTGCGACGGACGGCGCCGGCCAATTGCCATGGCCAGCGTGGGCGAGCAGAGCGCGGTACGGTGCACAACAGGGAGGCCTGGGACGCGGAGGTGTGTGAGCGGGGACTGGCTGCGAATAGGCAGAGAGGGGATCTGCACTTTGCCTGGCTTCGCGCAGCGTTGATGCATGATGGGCGCCGCCGTGCGCGACGGAGGCTCTCCGCGAGGGCTTGGCGTCCCCGACGGCGTTCTTGCTCGCTGGTCACCTGCCCGGGGCCGTCGTGGGAGCGCGGGGCTGGCGAGACGAGCGTCGCGATAACGCGCCAGGCGGGCCGGTGGTGTCGAGCGAGAATCCAAGCCCGGCTTTCTGACCAAGGCGGCCAGGGCGTAGGACGGCGAGAGTTTTGTCGGGAACCCGCGCGCGGTTTTGCCAGACGTCGGCGACCGCGGCGAGGTGGTGGGCGGAAGCAAAGTCGCTCGCCGGCGCGCGGCCGGGCGGTCGGCGAGTGACGTGACCGGGTGACGCGTGATGGTGATGGAATCCGCGGACGCGATCGAAGGGAGGCCGTTTCGGTGCTCTGCCCTTCTCCCTCAGTTGTCGACATGAAGGTCCGCCTAACCGACGCTAGTGGGTCGTCCCAGTGGTTTTCCTCTCGTGCGAACGCCGTGCTGACAGACCGACGGCCACCCAGACTTCCCCCGCACCGCCGACCGGCGTGTCTACCACCTCGGCATCCGCCCCGGCGAGGTCGCCAACCGCATCGTGCGTCCATCCGCCCTCTCCCACCCCGTGCGGCCGTGCTCACCCCCAGCCACAAACCCCAAAGATCACGCTGGGCTCGCCGTCGCGCGCGCACGGGGTCGCGTCCTACCTCGACCCGAGCCCGACCCCGTTCGTGCTCTCGTCCGAGCGCGGCTTCCTCACCATCACCGGCCGCTACAAGGCCGTGCCCGTCTCCATTGTTGCGATCGGCATGGGCCACCCGAACGCGGACTTCTTCGTGCGCGAGGTCCGCGAGTGCCTCTCCGGCGACATGGTCGTCATCAGGCGCGTCCGAATCCGAGTCTTCCCTCCCGCGGCGCCCGCTGACATCGTCCGCAGGCTGGGCTCCTGCGGCGGCCTGCGCGATTTCCCCGTCGGTACCATCGTTGCGCCCAAGGGCAGCATCGCGGTGTCACGCAACTATGACTTCGACTTCGTGGCCGGCGGCGTGACAGACGGTGCGGCGCCGTACCGCCTGAGCAAGCCAGTATGCCCCTTCGTTGAATCTCAATGGTTGGATTGACGTGACGGTGGGTGTTTGCAGGTCCTGGCCGACCCTGCGCTGCATGATGCGGTACGTGCCTCCCGAACAGATCCCGCGCCAGTGCGCGCGTCCAACTTTGTATCGCTCACCTTCCGCGCCCAGGTCGTAAGCGCGCTGCATGAGACGAAGCCGGCGGAGATCACGACCCCGATCGTGTCCGACACCCTGAACGCGTCTGCCGACAGGTGCGCTGAACCGCGCACGAAGTTGCCCACAGTCCTAACGCGACCTCCGGACCCACAGCTTCTACTCGTCGCAAGGCCGCCAGACGTCCTTCCCTGACCACAACGAGGCCCTGATCGCGCAGATCACGGGCACGCACGACGACGTCGCGACGCTCGAGGTGCGTCTCCCGCCCACCCCGCGCCGCCCTCCACGCCCCCTCTCATCCGCCTCCGGCCGCGCAGATGGAGACCTTCCACATCCTCCACCTCGCCAAGTGCTGGGTCCCCGACCCCGAACCCGCGCCCGTGTCTGCGCCCGCGCCGCCGCACCACGCCGCCACCGCGCCGTCGATCCCGCCGCCCGCGCCGCCCGCGACGCAGACCGCCGTCCCCTCCCCATCGTCGCCCGTCGTTATCGCGGGCGGGAGCGAGGAGAAGCGGCCGCGCATCCGCGCGGCGTCGGCGCAGATGGTGTTCGCGTCGCGGACGTCGCGGGACTTCATCACGCCCGAGGATGTCGCCGCGCGCGAGGCGTGGACGGGGCGTGCGATGCTCGAGGCGCTGGTCAGGCTCGAGCTCGATCCTGAGGTGAGTCGCTGCGAGGAGAGGTGGGAGGAGCGGCTGGTGCTGATGCTTGGGTTGCGCGCAGATGCTGCACGAGGAGAGCGGGAGCGTGTGGGAGGTCAAGGGCGTGGACGCCGTCGCGCGCTGAACCGGTGCTGGTACGTACAAGGGAGATGCGCTTGGTGTGGGATGTTGGATGACGGAAGGAAAGGAAGGGCAGCCTGTGCGTTGGAGGTCGCTGTATTGCTAGTGGTGTAGACCGAGAGGTCGACGGACACCGAGTGCGAACCGTATATAAGCGCATGTCACGCCCCCGTGGCCACCGCGCGATTTCCGAACGCCAGCAAGAATAGCCCCGGGGCCTGTCCCTCGACTGCGCTCCGGTCCCCACTGTCTGTTGACAGAGTGCGAGGGCAACGGGCGGGGGGGGGAAGCCGCCTCGGCCTCAGTGGATGTGCGCCGCAGCGACAGCTGGAGCGTGTGGGTGGTCGGGGGCGCGCTACAGCACGCGCGTACGGGCTGGAAAGTGAATTCCCAGGGACGCGCCGGAGCCGCGAACGCGAACCACCCGGGCCCGACGCTCGTGCGGGGGCCGCAGGCTCCTTCCTCTGCGGGGGCTGCGGACGCTGGGGCCCAAGCGTGCGCATCGTGTCGTAAGTGCCGTATGGGCGGGGGAGGTGGGGGAAAGCAATGTTCCTTTATCGGGCTCTCGGCGCGAGTGCACTTGAGTACGCCGTTCCAATTTGGGCCGCGGGGTTGGATCGTGGTTTCGTCACGTTTGCGCATGCAAGACTGAAGTACTGACGAACGGAGCGCGTTCCCGGAGGCACGCTGGCTCAGGAAGCTTCTACCGCTTGGGAAGAATACCCAGATGGTGAGGAGGAAGGGAGAGCAAAGGCGGAGCGCTCTCCCCCGTAAGATCCGGAAGAAAATCGCGCAGAGGGGAGGAGTTGTGGGTGGCTGGCGGTCCCCGGGCCCGCGAGATCCTCGATCGGTGTCGCGCTGTAGGTCCGCGCGTGCCCCCGCCGCGCCCTCAGGGCACCGCCAGCCATACAGTACCTCCCCCCGCGGTCCCCTGGAGCCGCAAACGAGAGCCGACGCGCGAGAAGCCGGGGCCGGCCAAGGCTAGAAGCCCCCCCAACTCAGTCCCAGTCCCAGTGCCGAGCCCACTGCGCCCGAGTCCGACGTCGCGGCGCCGCGGCACTGGACGCGTACGTACGGCCATCTGCGCCCCCCTCGTCCGCCCGCCCAGCCCAGCCCAGCTGACACGCGTTCTGGTCCCGCCCGAGCCTGGGAGCCCTCGAGGGCCGACGCCGCGCGCGCCGGGGCTGTGGAGCCCGCACGCACTGGAAAGGAAGGCGGGCCCGGCCGCGGGGGCTTTCGCGCACGCGTTCGGGTGCGAGGCTCCCCGCAGATGGGGAGATAGACGCTGCCACGGGCGTGCGGGCTCTGCCTCGATCGGGCGCGTGCCTGTCGTTTGGGAGGGGGCTTGATGACCGGCGGGGGCCTATGGGGTGCGCGAGATTGTTGGGTTGTGGTCGATGGCGGTCGATGGGGCGATGGATCGTGGGGGGATGCCCGGGGCCGTGCTTGGAGAGTCGATGGCGCCGAGAGCGAGGGCGGCCGCGGCGAGGAAGGGCGGACACGGTCGTCGCGGGATCTGAATGGGCCCGAGGGCAGCGCAGCGGAGGGCGACGAGCCATGAGAATGCGCGCCCGCGCCTCGACGTGCCAGAAGAGGAGGGGCCGCCTCCACGGCCTGCGTCTGTGGGCAGCGAGAAATGAATGAGATGCGCCTGCGAAGATGCACGGGTCCCGCCGCGGCTTAATTAACGGCGGTCAGATTGGAAAAGAGGCTCGCCGAAGCGAGGCACGACGGCTCACCGAGTGCATTCAGATCTGCGCCGCGCCCGCTCGCGGGCGCGGCGGCTCCCCGACGGCCCCGCTCGCCCAGCGTCTTGCGGTGCTACCAGCCTCCAGGAGCCAAGCGAGGCGGCGGAGGCTCGAGAGCTCGCTCCTCTCGCTCCTCTCGTCGCGCCAGGATCCCGGCGGAGATACACCGTCGATTCGAGGGCTGCCCGAGTTCCCTCGCGGTCGGACGTGGGAGGCCGTCGTCCCAGCTGGGGTCGCGCCTGCCCTCGAGCTTCAGCGCGAGCCGACGCTATTTGCGGTCCCGATCGCTCGTGCCCGTGCTTCAACGCCCCATCGTGTCCTGCCGCGCCGAGCCGCCGAGCCGCCCCCGCCATCTCCGGGCTCCTCGGTGCCCCCCTCGATACCTTGTACTCCCGCCTCCCGTTCGTCGACGACACCCGACGCTGGGAAGCCCCCCGTCCGCGCCCCACGCCCGTCGCACGCCCGGATACGCGGGGGACGTGCGTGTGCGGAGAGCAGCACCGCACCCCCCAGCCGCCAGCCGTATCGCACCCCTTGGCCTGCATGCTCCTGGCCGCCTCGTGGAGAAGGTATTTCCGCCGCACAGGGGCCCGCAATTTAGTCGATTAGCCTTTGGGCTGCCTAGCGTTGAATTGCCGGGCCCCCGAGGCGCGCAGGAGGACGGTGGAGGGGCGGCGCGGGCGGAGAAAGCGTGGATAATCCTCTGGGAAACCCCCAGCGCGCGCGCGGGGCGATGGGCGCGATATTGAGTCGGGTAAGCACAGAGATGGGCGTTATCGCGGGGTGGGTATCGCCGTGCGGGGTATCCGAGGGAGCTGGGCGACGCGGCGGAATGAGGTGAGCTCCAATCAATGGGAGGGTATTGTGCTGGACGAGGGAGGGGCGTGGCTGGCCGTGGGGAGGAGATGGGACGAGTGTATAAAGAGGGCTGGGGAGTGCGTGCGGTATGTCAGCCTCGCTGCTTTCTGGCTCGTGCACATGAGGACTTACCCTTCCTGCTGTCATCCCTTTGCTCGCTCTCAACCCTTGATCGCTGAGCAATACCCCAAACATCCACTGTTGAGACGTCCCAAAGAACGCGGAACCAGCAAGGAAGACAACTTGTGATGCTGCATGTCGAGTGGGAGGGAGATGGAACGGTGGTCGCTTCGATGGTGGTGTGGTCCGGGCATCGGTCAATAGGTGGAGGGCACCATCAACGATACCCCAAAGGCACGTCGACTATCTTGCTGTTCCATGCGCTGGCCCTCCACTCGAAGGCAAGCGATAAGGTGTGCTGATAGGTAGCCAAGAATCTGTATTGCGCTCTATGCAGCACGCACCCCACCACTGAGCCCGCTGCTGTGGCGGGGCGCGGTCGTAGACACGGGCGTCAGAATGAGCAATAAACCGTACGTTACCACTCACAATCGTTGCGCGTGGTTACTCCCACTTCTCTCGAACCACTTCACCGGTACGGGAAGGCTTCGCGTCGCACCCTCGCGGGGGGGCCGCGCTCACGTCCCTCACATCAGCGCACGCCTTATCACTGAATGCATCATACGCTGTTTGTCCCCGTCGCGCCGCCCGGCGCGCGCCTCCGCCGCCGCACCAGCAGCATCACATACGCCCCGTGACGGCGCGTCAGCGCGACGGGGGTCATTCATCGAACACGCGAAGCGCGGCACGCGGTCGTTCACGCTCAGCCGAGGATTTCAGTCGGGCAGGCGGGGCGTGTGGGAGTCGAAAAGGGAAGTGTATACGGGCGCGTGACCGGGCTCAGGCCTCGATCAGCGGGTGCAGGTCCGCGGCCTCCGGGTCTATGGCCGCGAAGGCTTCGTACAAGTACACGACTCCGAACAGGAGGAAGAGCGCGGACGCGGCGAGGGTCACTGGGGCGCGGGAGAGGCGTGAGCGAGGGTCGGGGCGCGTGAGAGAAGGGATGTGGCGGAGGAGACGTACCGTGCTTGACGGATATACGGGTGCTCGCGATGTAGCGGCCGCCCATGACGGCGAGCGCGGTGCAGCAGGCGTGGCCTGCTACGGTGCCGATGGACACGAGAAAGACATTCTGTGGGCACAGGGACGCGTTAGACTCAGAAAGATAGGGTGGACTGTGATCAAAGGAGGGCTGTGGACTGCATCCAGTAGCGACTAACGCTGCAATTGATGGACAGCATGACTGCCAGCGCACTCGGTGCATAAAGCAGCGAAGGACAGGGAGAATGGGGGGGAAAGCGGGCGAAGAATGCAAGAATATGAGGAGTTACTCACATCAGCAGCGGCAAGCGCAATGGTCGAAATCTGGCTGCGGTCGCCCCACTCGCCGAAGAAGGTGAGGATGAACGCCTGCACGAACACAGGCCCGAGCAGGTAGCTGAAGAAGTTGCGCGCCGAGTCCGCGTACCGCCTCCAGCCCCTCTCCGCCACGCGCCCGCCCATGCTCCGCCTGCGCGCGTGCCCGGGCGCGGTGCCCGCCTCGACCGCCTCGAGCGGCACAATCTCGCCCCCGTCCTCCATCCCGGTCCCGTCGAGCGCGGCGTCGTCGCCCTCGATGTCCTCCTCGGCCTCCTTCATCTCCTCCTGGATCTTCTCGTTCCCGCCCTTCATCTCGCGGCCCTCCTGGAGCATCTTCGCGCCGAAGACGAGGAAGAGGACGGCGGCGCACGCCTGCGTCCAGCGGCGGGGGATGAGGGTGGGCAGGATGTGGCCGAGCTCGGCGGAGAGGACGGACATGAGGGCGAGCGCGGCGAACGCGCCAGCGAAGACGAGGGCGCGGGGGTGACGCATGGCGAGGATGGCGGCGACGAGGAAGGTCTTGTCGCCGAGCTCCGAGACGATGATCATGGCGTACGACCGCCAGAGGGTTTGGAAGGTGCCATCGCTGGGCACGGGCGTGGTCGCCTCCGTGGACATAGAATGTCTGTGCTCGCGTGTCAGTTCTGTGTGCACTTTCACCGGTGCCAGAGAGACGCCAACCTGAAAGTCTACAAGGAAAGCTGGAAGAGCAGTATCAAAGACTCGAGCAGGGCGACGTTAGGTGATGGTGGAGGAGGACGCGGACGTGGATGTGGAGGAGAGGTGGCGGAGCCTGGTGAGGACGAATTTAGCACAGGCGCCCGGGACACGCTCAAAATAGCCGCGCAGCCCGCAGCACGTGCTACGAATCGCCTTGGCACTGGGCAGTCCGTCTCTCGGCCGCTGAGGCTCTACTTGGGCACCTTGGCGTTCGTTCAACTTAATTACTGCATAAGAATCTTCAAGGGGGCGACAGAAGCGACTCAATGAACGCTGCCATCCTCGTAATGTTGCCAAAACATTCAAAATCATGTTCATTGCCTTTACGATGAGATGCAATGGAAGCGAATAAGTGTGATTGAAGCACAAAATGAGCTAGTAAACAGAAGCAAGGCAGCATGTTGGTAGTGTGTTACAGCTCCGGATACTGGCACCCATCGGCCGATTGGAGGACGAACCCGAAAATCCACTACGGCGGATGAGGCCTGTCACGCAAAACCTTCAGCATTCCGCGAGACACCCAGGGTAGAGCATGCCCTGCGGATAGCTCGGAGTAACGCCGGCCGGCCGGCCGGAGCACCCAGTTGGACAGACCGACAGGCGGGCTAAAGTCGTCAGGGATTAAGGCCGGCGGTAGTCGCCTGCCAGGAAGTCAGACGCGACGCGGCCGGATGGATGGGATAGTCGAAAATGGGGCCGAGAGAGTACATCAACACGACTGATTGTTGGACAAGATGTCCGAGAGAGGCTGGGAGGGATGGTGAACCCCCATCGGGTATGCGAGTGTCGCCTCTTCGGCGCGGCGCGACTAGAGAAGCAGTCCAAGAGCCGGGCCGGCGATGGGTTGAGATAGCACGTAAGGTCCACCGCTTCTTTCTGGGTAGATTACGGGACGGAACGCAGGCATGTGGGATCGTGTGGGAGGACGGGCGGGAGGGGCAGAACGTGTTCCACCGGGTATGTGCCGTTTAGATGCGAGACATGCCCCGGGTGCGTAGGGAAGGTTGTGAGACACCAAACGCCGGACCGTCGTGAGAGGGCGAAGCGGACAGCGTGGTGCGAGGGCTTCCTGCGACAGTCGGGCATGCGGTATATGGACAGTGGTGATCGCGAAACGACGGCCTGGAACGTTTGACATCTGGTAGGGCGGCGGCGGGAGAACCGGGAGGGGAAAGGCACGGCAGGGGCGGGGGGAAACGATGTGGCCAAGAAAGCGGGGGAATTTGGCGAGCGCGAGGGCAAGTGGGGTCCTCGGAGAATCAGTGTAGATGGGCCCGTGCCGGAGGGCGCGGAGCGCGACGGTCGATTATATAAGTAGGGTGCCGGTGGGGTTTACTCCAACTCAGACGTTGAGTGAGGGTATCTGGACGTCCCTAAAACGGAAGCGACCTGTCGATGACCGCATAGTAAGATTGTACCCAGCGTCGAAAGCTGGTCGAAAACTCACATACCGCCTTCTAAGAAGTCATTCGGCGGCCGAATACCTATATTTGCGTGTGATCGAGTGCTAGAGACTCGCTTCAATCACTTGGTTGCGTTCCAAGCGTCACTTCCAGCAGCCGATGTCGTGCGACAGGGCCAGGGCGAGGAGGAAAGTCGGGGGAATGGGGCGCGGCGTGGAGGGACTAGAACGGCGGAGCGTGTGCGTGCACGGCCGTACGACGCCCATACCGGGGCTCTTTTCAAGGCATGAGGCGCAATACCTGGATATGAACCACCGGCTCGATGAGCGAGCTGCGGGACTTGGCAGGATTATTTGGGATGCGCACCGAAGAAACTCCGTAGGACCGAGGAGGCGATTCCCATGCGATGTGGTTACATCGCCGTCCCTCGGCGCTCTTTGTCAGCATCGCCTTGAGGCTTTGCAGATCGCACCGAAGCGGTTAGAAGGTTGGCCTAGGGGAGACTACCGATGTTGGTCTCTGCGGAAGTCGTGGTTCGGAAACAAACTGCGCGCCACGTGCGCGCTCGCGTGATGGACTGGCGCTTGCAGTGGCTGAGATGCATGTGACCGAAGCGCCCGCGGCTTCGTAACTTCGACCAAACTTCGACGCTATCCCCGGTCCAAAAGGAATAAGTCGCGGCTGAAGACTGCTGAAGCAGCCAAATGCTCGCCCTCTATCTCCGTTCAGCAAGCCAAGAAAATGCAGTCATGACGGGTGACGCGGTTATGACATAGCTGAGTCATGCGCCTGCGGAGACGCGGTTCTTTCCCTCCGACGCCGTTCGTGTCCCCGCCGCCTCCGCCGCCAACAGCCAGCCACTCACCGCGCCGCGCTAGGCGGGCGGCACCCTCGCTAACAGCGGTCAAGGACCCTGCTCGCCAAAGAGGGCCGACACGCGCCGCTCCGTATATAGGCCTCAACGAGCGGGGCATCTTCGGACCTACAGTGGTGATTCACCAGGTGCATCCATTGCGATAGCCTATCGGCAGGTGCGGATGCATCTGGTGCCGGCCGGCCCGGTTGCGCTCCACACCGCCTTCCCCGAGCGCGCACGGATCCCGAGCGGACACCGGCGCCTCGGGCCCTGCCACCTGAGCTCGCCGTCTCCGACGGTAAGCTCGCCTCCCTCTTTGATTCACACCACATCTTGCATATGATTAGTGATCGAAATATATTTATTAGTAAACTACTACATAGGTGGGCTAGTAAGTAAGCCACGCCCCACGACAACGCGGAGGCAGAGGCGGAGGAGGGTGATGGGGAGCGGGGCAGCACAGAGAAGGACGAGGCGGAGAGCCAGGAGGAGGCGGAGGGACTAGGAGGAGGCGGAGGGCGATGTAGAGGACAAGGCGGAGGAGGGCGACGTGAATGCGGGAGACGCGGCGAGCGAGACGGAGGAGAGCGAGGCGGAGGGCTCGCGGGGGACGCGGAGGGCCGGGACGAGGCGGAGAAGGTGGTGGGCGACGCGGGCGGGGGCGCGCGATGCGAAGGGGGAGGCACAGAGCAAAGAGGGCGGGCGACGCGGGCGGAGGAGGCGACGCAGGCGTCGGAGGTGATTGGGCCGGGACGACGCGGAGGAGGGCGGCGCGGGCAGGAGGTGCGGGGAGGAGGCAAGTGACGAGGGTGGAGGAGCGCGACGCGGAGGAGCGCGGCGACGCGGGAGGAGGAGGGTGATGCGGAGGAGGCGGGTGACACGGGCAGAGGAGGGCGGCGCGAAGGAGGCGGCAGGCAGGGGCGGCGCAGGGCGAGAAGGGCGACGCAGAGGCGGATGGCGCAGGTGGGCGACGCGGACGGAGGAGAGCGGGTGGAGGAGAGCGGCTCGGAGGAGGAGGACGTCAGGGTGGACGTCCTCGGTCTGTCGTAGGCAGGGGACATGGGTGGGCATCGGGAGTGCAGAAGGACTGAGCGGAGGACTCACCAACGAGCGCCGCGGTGCATCGCCGCGGCCCCCTATTCCAATCTCCATGCTGTGGATGTCCGTATGGGCGTCCTCGTGTGGTGTGTTTGTTTTGAGTGCGGTCGGGAAGGTGGGTATAGGGTGGGATCGAGGTCGAGGGAGGTCGGAGAAGGGAAGGTCGGTGTCACCTGGTGACACCGGGGTCCAATAGCAGACGACAGTCGACCGTATGGTCGCTATCGTCTGCCTGGGCAGAGCGGGGAGGCTGGGGGTAGCGAGGGTGGTGGTGGAGGAGAGCAAGGACGGTGAAGGGACGCGATGCGCGCCACGCGTCCTTGCCGCCCACCGAGGCGCGTCTCCACGGGCGCGCATCACGGATCGCCAGATCCGTCCAGATGCATCCGTAGCTGCCGATAGGCTATCGCAACGGATGCACCAGGGAAATCACCTGTGCTCTTCGGACGGCGCCCCTTGCATGCCGACCGCCGCCATGCTGATGCCTTCGACGCGCTTTGCCCTTGCCCTTGCCGTCCTCATCCACGGACGGACCGCTCTGGCTCGCGGGCCCTCGGGCCTCGACAGCCGGCAGTTTGCGCGAAGTGGGGAGGCCTCACCCTCGTTAAACGTATCGTCGTGCCCAGGTAAGTCGCCTCGTGGGTCCTTGTATGACGTTTCGCCGATTGGCCGTGTCTTTCCATTCTGGGGAGACAGGGGCATGTGTTGAAATGAGGCTAACACAATATCCAGGTTATTCCATCTCGTCCGTCACTGAGACCGCCACTGGTCTCACGGCACGGCTCGGCCTTGCGGGGCATGCTTGCAACGCGTTCGGTCACGACGTCACGAATCTTACTCTCGAAGTGACTTACGATACACAAACGAGGCACGTTAGAGGTGACATTCTGTTCGCGTCATGTCTAACGGGCTCTTCTCAGACTGCATGTCAACATCTTTGATTCCGACAAGCAGCAGTTCACCATCCCGTCGGATGTGATTACGTTGTCTGCCGGCGACGGAGATCCCAGTCTGAAGACTAGCTCGGACTTCGAGTTCCACTACGATTCCGAGCCTTTCGCCTTTTGGATCACTCGCCGCTCGGAGCCCGATGCACAACCGCTGTTCGATACTCGCGTCCAGTCTCTGCCCGCAACCCCTATTCCTCCCGTCATTCCGAATGACAACAGCACGGCTCTCGACGGGTTCCCATTGGTGTTCGAAGATCAATACCTCCAGCTCACGTCGGCACTTCCCTTGAACGCGAACATCTACGGATTGGGCGAAATCCTGGCTAGCTTCGGCTTCCGGAGAGACGTTGGCACGGACGGCGGTGTCGGCACGATTCAGACGATGTGGGCTCGAGATAACCCCGACCCGATCGACCAGAACATGTGAGTGTGCCCGCTCTCAGATTTGAAACACACGTTGCTCAACGCGACCCACTCCTGGCAGCTACGGTTCACACCCCATATACCTGGAGCACCGCTACAACGAGACCACAAAGCGCGCGCAGTCTCACGGGGTCTTCCACTTCGGGTGCGTCTTCTCCCCCTCCTGTCCGTAAGACTTTGCGCTCAGCCCACCTGACGCCCCTTCCGCTTCTCCCGCCCACAGCGCCGCAGGGTCTGACATCCTCCTCCTAACCCCGCCCTCGTCCCCGACGTCTCTTGTGCAATACCGCCTGCTTGGAGGCACCCTCGACTTCTACTTCTTTTCGGGACCCAGCCCGCAGAGCGTGGTCGAGCAGTACGGCGCGCTCGTCGGCCTCCCGACATGGCAGCCCGCGTGGGGCTTCGGCTTCCACCTCTGCCGCTGGGGCTACGCAAACGTAAGCGAGACGCGCGAGCAAGTGGACAAGATGCGCGCGGCCAACATCCCGCTCGAGGTCATGTGGAACGACATCGACCTGTACCACGCCATCCGCGACTTCACGACGGACCCGGTCAGCTTCCCGGCCGATGAGGTCGCGGACTTCATTGCGAACCTCGTGGGTTTCGCCCATGTTGAGGGAGTCGCGGCCGCTGACGGAGTACTCCAGACCGCGAACAACCAGCACTTCATTCCCATCGTCGATGCCGCGCTCGCGATCCAGGTGAACGACACGGATGTGGTACGTAATAGAAGTTCTCCCTCGCGCTGCTGAGGGGCTGACACGTGCTGTCGCCGCGATCCCCGCCCGTTTGCCGCATGTGCTGCAGTACGATCCATACACACGGGGTGTCGAGCAGTAAGTTAGCATTATTCCCGAGGCGACGATCTCGTGTCCTGGGGCGAGGTAGAGTTCACCTTTCGCTGACCGCGTCTTCATCAGGGACGTGTTCATGAAGAACCCAGATGGGTCGCTGTACCTAGGTCAGGTGTGGCCTGGGTATACGGTACGTAGTGGAGTCACACGCTGGAGTGCCACGTTTACTAATCGGAAACCCGCATGACCTTCCAGGTGTTCCCGGACTGGTTCGCGAACAACACGCAAGGGTTCTGGACGGAGGCGTTGCGAAACTGGTCCCAGCCTGGCGTCAACTACTCCGGCATCTGGCTTGATATGAACGAGGTGTCGTCGTTTTGCGTGGGTTCTTGGTGCGCGAGCTTCGGGACAGTGCTGCGGGTTCGGCTGACGCTGGTGGGACAGTGGAGACGGTGCGGACCTGGCGGCCGCCACCATCCCGACCCAGTTCTTCCCGGGCACGCCTGGGAACCTCGTGACGGATTATCCTGAGGGGTCAGTGATGATCCTGTCGCGCTCCGAAGTTTCCTCATTGATATCGCTGCTCCGCAGGTACAACTCGAGCATCTGGGGACCAAGCGGGAACCTCACCATCAACGGCACTCTGACTTTCGGAAACAACAGCGCCAATTTTCCAGCCGCGCATGATAAGCGATCACTTCCTGGCGTTGCTGGCCAGCCCGGTGTCGATCTCAACAACCCTCCCTATGCCATTCACAACGGTGAGCGCACTGTTTCGCGCACGCGTACATTCTTTGATGAAGCCGATGCTGTACAGGCGACCCCACGCTCTCCACGCACGACGTCTCTACCAACGCCACGCACGCCAATGGCGCCGTCGAACTGGACACGCATAACCTCTGGGGCCTCATGGAAGAGAAGGCGACGCATCTCGCGCTGCTCGATATCCACCCAGGGAAGCGCCCCTTCCTCATCTCGCGCTCCACGACGATCTCCTCCGGGCGCTGGACGGGCCACTGGCTGGGCGACAACATATCCAAGTGGCGGTATATGTACCTGAGCATTCAGGGCATGCTCCAGTTCCAGCTCTTCCAGATCCCCTTCGTCGGCGCCGACACGTGCGGCTTCCAGGGCAACACGGACGAGGAGCTGTGCGGGCGGTGGATGCAGCTGTCGGCGTTCATGCCGTTCTACCGGAACCACAACGTGCGGAGCGCGCTGAGCCAGGAGCCGTACCGGTGGGACTCGGTCGCGAACGCGTCGCGGACGGCCATCGCGGTTCGGTACAGCATGCTGCCGTACTGGGTGAGTTGGGTTGGGTGTTTGGGTCTTCGTGGTGTTGACGATAGCACAGTACACGCTGTTCGCGAACGCGTCGATGCACGGCACGCCGCCCATCCGTGCGCTGTTCTTCGAGTTCCCAGACGAGCCCGAGCTCTTCTCCGTCGACCGCCAATTCCTCATTGGCCGCGACATCGTCGTCACCCCCGTGCTCACACCCAACGTCTCCACCGTCGACGGTATGTTGTTCCTTTCTGATGCCATTGCCACCCAAACTCACCCACGCCCGCCACAGGCATCTTCCCCGGCCAAGGCCGCTCGATATGGCGCGACTGGTACACGCACGAAGTCCTCAACGCCTCCATCTCGGCCAACACCACCCTCCCCGCGCCGCTCGGCCACATCCCCGTGCACGTCCGCGACGGCGCCGCGCTCCTGCTGCACGCGGCGCCCGCGTACACGATCGCGGAGACGCGCGCGGGCCCGTACGAGCTGCTCGTCGCGCAGGCGGCGGACGGGTACGCGTTCGGGACGGCGTACGTGGACGACGGGGAGAGCGTGCCGCCCACGCCGAACTCGACGCTCGTCGTGAGGGCGCAGACGGGGCGGGTGACGGTCGAGCGGGAGGGGACGTTCCGGATCGAGCAGAAGCTGGAGAAGGTGACGGTGCTCGGGGCAGCGCGCGCGGCGCCGGGAACGGTGAGGGTGAATGGGGTGAAGGTGGGGAACTGGACGTTCGATGCGGGGGTGGAGAGGTTGGTTGTGGGCGGGCTAGGGATTGATCTGAACGAGCGCGTTGTGGTGGAGTGGGCTTAGGTATGTGCGTGTGCCTCTCGGAAGGGTACTGTCAATCAATTTGCGTGTCTGTACGACCTGCGTGCGATGTGCGTAGCTAGATGCGGAGCGCAGAGAGTCGACGAGAACAAAGTGCGAGGCTGACCGGCCTCGCAGGCTTGGCCGGCACCTGCGGACTTGTAGTGTGGCTTTGGAGGCTCGTGCCATCCATTCTCTTAGCTACATGCATATGCTACGCATTAGAGAGTAGTTATGCGGATACAACTCTATCGAGTGTATGTTTCTCTTCCTTGGCCAGTACAAATGATTTCCAACGTCTTTAACCCACTCAGTCGTGACTTACATATATCCCAGAGCAGGGAAAAATCCATAGTTTCGTCGTCACCATACCTGTCGATGCCACGGTAGATGGAACGTTCTTCTTGGTCGAGATGCAAACTCAACGTCACAAACTGCTCCTAACACCTGTTGTCAACTAGCGGGCTACAGGATATCAGACATAAACTCACAAACGCTCGAGGAGACTGTGGTGCATGAGACGTGTACTTGCGTGGCTCGCGATGTAGACCGACAGTGTCCAAACGACGAAAGGTTTGGACGAGGTAGTCTAGAAGTTGTCCCTCATTGGCGTCGACTTCGTAGGCGATGAAAGCGACTTGAGGAGGGGGAGATCGAGTTTCTGAAGTACTTGAAGTGCGGCAGCGATTCGCAACGCCGTCACATCCAACACCAACTTATTCCGCTTCTGAAGCCAATCCTCACGAGAAGCTTCCGTCACTTCCCACGGAGAGGGACAAGAAGGGAAATAAATTGACCGGAGGATGCGAGGGATATGCGACCACAGCTGGTCTTCCGGGACGGGATGCGTGGCCAGTAACTCTTCCAACTCCGGCCACTCGACAGTGGTGTCGTAATAAATCGGCCATATGGCCTGAGGCATGTCGCTGGGATGCCTGGAGAACCGGAGGTGTAGGTAGCGGAGGCGAGGCATCCGAGCGAGTACGGCGATCAGAGGGACGTGTGTCGCGTGAGTGGGTGGTTGAAGTATACCGTAAAGCGTGAAGTGGCGAAGGTGCGACCAGGTACAGTCGCGCATCTCTTGCAAAGGAGCGTTCTCCACTAGGGTTCGACTACATATTCCAGGCCGTCTGTAACATATGTTACTAACAAACCGACCCTCAGACGCCATTTGTAACACGTGTAAGTAACATGAAACTAATTCGAAATGTAATGAAGGTCTAGTGCTGCGGAGAATAGCCCTACCAGTCCCCATCCTTAGTCAAATCGCTGTCGGAATCCTCATCATCGGACGTAGACAGCGAGATTCGTGCAGCAGCCACAGTAGAGACGCATCATGGCACGCAGACGACACCAAGCGACCCCTCTGAGGGTATTCCAAGGAGATGGGGAGACCACAATTGCGACAAACACTCTTCAGGATAGCGGGAGCTTGCACAGGGCCCTTTGAAGAAACGTGTGATTTTCAGTGAAAGCACAAATATCTGAGCCACTAATGTGCAGTCAACTCTGGGCTCAGGAATCAACAAGGATGAGGGCGAGTGAGCGAGTGAGCGTAAGCGTGAGTCGCAGGAAGTCGTATAGAAGCAGATACGACGCGCCGCGGGGAGAGCGAGCGCGAAGGGAGGATGGATTGGAGGATCGCGCGAGTGCAAGGAGGACACCGCGGGGATAGACGCGAGAGATGGACGAGGTCGCGCACACGGGCGCTGGCGAAGGCGAGGGCGAATATGGGGCGTGCGCGAAAGCGTGGACGTGAACGTGGGCGTGCGCGAAGTCGAAGCCGAAGGCGAGACTAGATGAGCACACTGCACGCGTAGATGGAGCGGGGATGTGAGCGCAGATAGACCGAGGCAGCATGAGCCGAAATGGGGGCTCGCGAAGTGGATACGAGGATACGAAATAGAGCAAAAATAAAGCAGGAGAGAAGAATAAACATACGATATGAGGAGTGGGGTACCATCACGAGACAAGAACGTGTCGTCAGGCTGTGGAGGATGGGGATCGAGCAGTGCAGTGCCATAATATAGTCGCACGATACGCTTATTTGCAGCACAGGAATATGCGAATATTCCGCTTATTTGCACTCAATTGAGCCTAGCATCTGTTCTCGATATACCTGCTCATATGAGCTTATGGTGGTAGACAGTGCTCTCGCTCATATGAGGCCCCCCCAAAAACTGTTCCAGCTCCTTCATAATATCAGTTCAATTGAGGTAGGTGGTTTCAGGAGTGTTTGGCTCATGTGACAGCCATCATTTCACAAGAGTCATGCTCACATGAGGTCATCCATGTGCATGAAAGACAGGCTTGTATGAGCAACAGTCTGTTCACAAGGCACTCGCTCATGTGAGGGCAGTCAGTTTAGGAAAGTCCTGCTCATATTAGGGAAATCTTGCTTAGTTAACAGGACCGCTCAACTGAAAGGGGACCGTTCATGAGAGAATCACTCATTTGAGATGGATGAGTACTAGAGAAAATCGCTCCCATGAACTGTGACTGGTTTGGGAAATATTCGCTCATATGAGTGGCCCTTGTTCGTAAGAGATGGGCTCATGCGAGCGTTTTTGTGAGCGAAACATACGTTTAAATGAGTGGCGAAAATTTTGGCAGTCATCGAGAATTGCGCTTGTTGGAGTTTCTGTCAGTTTGCGAGAAATGCGCTTACACGAACCCACCAGTGTGCGAGAGATGCGCTCATATGAGCAGTGCTCCGTTTTCCAGAACTCCGCTCATATGAATGGGCTACCAGTTCGCCAGACATGCGCTCACATGAGCCTGCCGGTATCCAAGTGATACGCTCATGTGAGCAGCACTTGGTTTTCAAAAGATTCGCTCATGCGAGGATCATTCAGTTTGGAAGAAATTCGCTCATACGAGAGACACTCGGTTTTCAAGAGATTCGCTCACACGAGGGAGATTCAGTTTTCAGGAAATTCGCTTACATGAACCCACCAAGCGTTTTTCAAGAGGTTCTTTCTTGAAAGCAGTTTTCAAGAAATGTGCCCCATGAGCTGATTAGTCAGCTGATCAGCCAAACAGGCAGTCAGTAGTGCCAATTCACTCCTGCTCTGATCACTAAAGATTTAGCTCTTTACAAAACCAGCTCTGCTCAGGAGAGTCCAGACAATGTGCCCATAAAAAACTGGAAAATAAAAATCGGTTTTGGGGCTGCTAGAAACAGAAACCTCATTTTCTGAAGAACTCGGAAAGAAAATCTATTTTTGGGGTCTCAAAATATTTTCAGAGAACTAGAAAAGAAATCTTCTTCTGGGTCCCTTAAAAACGTCTCACAAAAACAATTTAAAGCTGATCGGTCATCTTTGGCACAAATCAAATTGGGCGGTTTGAATGCCACAGAACAGTGACTCTGGGCTAGTGACATCAAATTTTTCAGGCTTCACTAGGCAGAGGGTGGCAAGCAAGCTGAGGCAAGAAAAACAAATACCGGCAGGGGCAAGGGGAGGCTCATGTGCTACATAGGTGCGCTAGTAAGTAATACCACGTCCCGCGACAACGCGGAGGCAGACGTAGAGGCGGGTGATGCGGAGCAGGGTAGAGAACGAGGCGGAGGGTCGGGACAACGCGGAGGAGGAGGGCGACGTGGGCGATGTGAATGCGGGAGACGCGGAGGCGGGCGACGCAAAGGCAAGCGAGGCGGAGGTGAGGGGCGCGAACACGGAGGAGGGCGACGCGGAGGTAGGCGGCTCGAAGGAGACGGCAGGCGCGGGCGAGGAGGAAGGCGGTATGGGCGGGCGGCGCAAGGCAGCGCGGGCGGAGGGCAGTACGAAGGAGGGCCGCATGGAGGGCCACGCGAAGTCAGCCGAGGCTGAGGCAGGCGACATGAGCGGGCGGTGCGACGGAGGCGGCGGGCGTGGGCAGAGCAGGGCGAGAGGGAAGAGCGGGCGACACGGGTGGAGAGCAGCGCGGGGGCGGAGGAGGGTGACGCGGAGGAGCGCGGGACTGAGGAGCGCGGTGCTAACGAGGACGGTGACGCGGGCGGAGGAGCGCGGCGCAGAGGAGGGTGCCGCGGAGGGTGCAGGAGAGGAGGGCGGCACGAAGGAGGTAGCGGGCGTGGGCGGAGGAAGGCGAGGAGGGAAGAGGAGGACGACGCAGAGGCGGGCGACGTAGAAGTGGGTGGTGCAGGTGGACAACATGGGCGGAGGAGGGCAGCGCGGAGGAAGGGGGCGACGCGAAGGACCGGGAGGAGGAGGGCGTCCGGGCGGACGTCGTTGGCCTGTTGTAGTTGTCGACGGGGCGACAGGAAGTATGTGTGGGTGGGCGTCGGGAACGCAGGAACGCGGAGGAGAGGACTCACCAAAGCAAAGGCCGCGGCACGTCGCCGCGACCCCCATATCCTCATCTCCATACTGAGGACGTCCGGATGGACGTCCTCGTGCAGTGTTTGTTGTGGGAGTGGCCGGGAGGGTGAGTGAAGGGGGGATAGAGGTCGAGGTTGAGGGAGGGAGGGGGACGGAAGATCGGGGTCACCTGGTGACGCCGGGGTCCAATAGCGGGCGACAGTCGACCATATGGTCGCTATCGTCTGCCTGGGCAGAGCGGGGAAGAGGACGAGGACGAGGACGAGGAGAGGAAGGACGGCGAAAGGGAAGGACGCGTGGCGTGCATCACAGCCACGTGTTGATGCGCGCCACGCGTCCTTGCCGCCCACGTATCCCACCGCTGAATGCTGTTTTCATATGGTCCGGAGGGGTTGTAAATCCCCTCGCCTTGCGATTCTTGATACTTCGATGCGCCGAAACAGTGCTACCAGCTTCGCTCGAGTTGAGGAGCAGTCCCGAGTCTCTCAAGAAATCCCCAAACGCAGAGGTCCAGATGTTGAGGCACTACGGTGGTTTTGAAGCGACTGATAAAATAATCGCCGTATCGTCACTGGAGGCCTTTCAACAGCCCAGAGGACGCGCATGGGGCACATGTGCAACATATATATAAGCGTTCCGGGGCACAGCGAGGCAGCAAAATGACGGCATATCATACAAAAAACATATCTAGCAGCCGGATATACTTAGGTTCGTCGTTTTCGACGAGCGGCGTGAGCCCTACTGAAGTCCGATCAGTCTTCGAGCCAGTCCTCATCGTCATCCTCCTGCTGCTCGGCTGGAGTCGCATGCTTCTTGCCAGGCGGTTTTCTCGCATGCTCCTTCGCCGGCGTCATCTGTTTCTCCGCCGCTGGAGTCCCACGTTCCGCCTGGGTGCGGTGCGGCGTCGGCGCGGGCAGCGCAGCGGAAGGCGGCGCGGCCGGCGCAGCGGATGGCGGCGCGGCCGGCGCAGCGGATGGCGGCGCGGCCGGCGCAGCGGATGGCGGCGCGGCCGGCGCAGCGGATGCGGCCAGCGCAGCGGATGGCGGCGCGGCCAGCGCAGCGGATGGCGGCGCAGGCAGCGCAGCAGGCATCGTGGCAGGGATCTCCGAGACCTCTTCGGGGGGCTGCATGCTCGGCGCGGCGCGAGGCAAGGCGGGGACCACGTCCTGCATCTTCACGTCGGGGTCCAAGATCGAGTTTGCTGGCAGGTTGGTGCGCAACGCCTGCGCGATGACGATGCCCGCAGTCTGCGACCAGGTGAGGAATTCCTCCGAATTTGCGAATCCGCTTGGGCGAAAGCGATTGCGCAATACGTGGTGGCGGCCTTCGGCGTGTGCAGCGACCGATTCGAGACGCGATATGGCGGCCTGCATATCACTACGACGCTCGTTGAAGTTCGTCGCGGCGCTGAGATAGGCCATGTACAAGTCTCCGTCGTTCGAAAGGTCAACTTGCGCGGGCGTTCCGGCCGCCGAACGAGTGGCGGAGGACGCAAATGATGATATGGGGGGGCCGAACAGCGACGTCGACGCTTCGAACGGCGGCTGGAAAAGCGCATAGGACGTCGACGAGGCCTGCGAGGAGGCCGGCGGCCCGAAAGCAATCGACGTCGACCGAGTGCTTCCAGACTTCTTCACGCGCGCCGGAACGTCCACGAAGGGCACTACTCCAGTCTTGAACCGCTTCGAGGGCTTCGACGTCGAGGGTGGGGAAATGGGGGCGGTGCGCTTGGACGCTGCCTGCGTCGTGGCCCGCGTGGTACGACGAGTCGAAGTCGACGGCTCGGGCTGTTCGTTGTCCGACAATTCAATCACTTGCTGCCCGCGTTTCGGCCCAGCAGCTGCCTTCGACTTCCCTGCGGGCTTCGGCTTTTGCTTCCGGGGGGACGTCTTCGGCTTGGGTTGTGGACGAGACGGGCGGAGCGCACGGCTCTCTTCGTTCTCCGGACGAAGATTGCGCACGTATTCGCGGCGTTCGCCGCAGATCGTCTTGAATTCGGCGGCCGTAACGCCAATCCGCGCTTTCGGGGGCTCAAGAAACAGGTGCCGCCAAGCGATTCGGCGACTGTCGGCGCGGTGGTAATACCATCTGAGTTGTGTGACCTTTTCGGGGACCTCGACGGGGTCGGACGTCGTCAGCGCGTAGTCTTCTTTGGTGATTGTGTGGAGGAGGAAGTCGAGATATCCTTCGGTGACCGCGCGTTGTGCGCCGACCAGAATTTTCAGTGGATAAAAGCACCGGCCGTCGAAAAACGCTACGACACCGAGACGTTTCACTGGCCGCTGAACGTTAGGATGCGGCTGTCGCAGGATCGGCGAATGCGACGTACCAAGCACCCATCCATCCCCACGGATTCCGAGCAACGAGCAACGTATCTTCTCATGCTTGCACGGTCCGCACGGCTGTACTCCAGTGTAGCACGAGTAAGGTCCATCCGGCGTCTTCATGAGACAGTTGTCACACTACCAAACAGATCATACTGAATACATCTTGGGGGTGCGCCGGAGATAAGGAAAGGACTTACTACGCGGCGGAAATGAATAATTGTCGTATCCGGAGGCCCAGTGGCGTTCTCCAATGAGGCGACCGTTGATGTGGACTCGATCCGGCGGCCGGTATCGTCGGGATCGTCGTACTCGATCTCCTCGCCACTTCTCGCGCCGTCGTCGTCCTGTTCTCCTTCACCGCGTTCTTGTTCGTCGTCGTCCGACTCGTCCTCCCAGTCCTGTGCGTCTTCGGCCTTTGCAGACCCATGCGTGTCGCCGAGATTGAAGTCTGGCTCCGGCTCGTAGGAGAACACCACTCCGAACTTCATGGCGATGCTGGCGGCGGTGTGCGCGCGCATTGCCTCGAAGTCCGCCTCGGATGTGTCGATTTTGAAGAAGAGGGCCCAGAGCGTGCGTTCTTGAACCGTCATAACCTGCCGACTGCCCCGGAGGACGATGACGCGGCGTGGATATGCCGTGGTGACATCGACCAGGTCGAAGACGGAGGGGGATTTCGCGGCGCGCGTCTGGATAGAGTCGAGGTCCGCTTTCATGACGTCGGACAGGGTGGGGGACGAAAACTACGCAGATTCAGAGCAATATCGGCGTGCCGATCGCGCCGAGACGTACCTTATACAAAATGATTCCAGCCGCCTTGCCGAGTTGAACGGCATCCACCCGCTTCCACTGCCCCATCGGCCCGGACGGGATTTTCTGTTTGAACTTGTCATGAATCCGGCGGGCCCTTTCGTCATCGATCGGCTCGGGAGCATCGTCCCAGTCCCGCAAAGGGGTCGTATCGGCGAGACGAGTGGGGAACGTCGGCGGCATAGGCATAGGCATAGTAGGGGAAGGGAGGGCGAGTTCAGTGAGAGGGTGAGGAGCGGCAGGGGCTGGGGGGCGCGTCAGTGAGCCCAGGGCTTATCTGACGCGTCCGCGAGAAAGACGCAACGACAACACCAAACAGCGAGAAGTTCAGAAGCCCGAGGTGTGGCCGCGCGAAACCTTGTGGCGCAAGCATGCGCAAACACCAGCGGATTCTTCGCATTAATCTGCCCACAGCTCCTCTGGGGCTTTGTATTCTGCTCCGCCGGCACAACATTTTATTTTCGGCTGGGGTAAGTGGTTTACCTGCCGAATTCGGCGCCATGCCTGCGCCCATGCGTGCCCTTCATTCCTCGACCTTCACGCCGTCCTCTGCCGATCTTGCCGGCCATATGCGCACCCAACAATGGTGTCCATCTGGACATTCAGAGCTTGGATATTCAAGGGATTAGGGGGTTGTGGCGATGAACCACTGTCTTTGTTTCAGTGAGTCTTTTGCTCCGCCTCTTCCGCTGACATGCGCGGGGAGTCTGGCCCGACATCTTCCGCGTCGTCAGATGGCCGGTTTCGGCAGTTCAGGGAGTCCTCCGCTCTCGGTTCCAGCGCCGATATCAAGCCAGCAACGAAGACAAACAGTGTTGAGAACGCGATCGCACGCCGTCGTAATATACGTAAGGGGTATTTTGACATATGAAGGACAATTGGAATTGGGGCCTGAGTGAACATGGAAGCAGTTACGTGAAACCGAAATCACTAATCTGCTGAACTAGGGAAGCGAAATGCGGAAGCGGCGGAATAGAGAGACCTAGCGTCGCGGACCACATCTCCACAACCTCCCGACGGTTGTACCATGAAATACAAAACCGCTCTCCGGTGCTGGTTGGCGGCGCACCGTGTTCTAGAAGCTTGGTAAGCATAAAAACGACAGTTCCAGGTTCATATGGAAGTGCCAGCCCAAGGCTCCTAAGCGATAGAAACGTCCCATCATAATCCCCCAACGTAAGTAACAGATCGTAGAACCAGTCAAAACTATTGAGGTCCCGATGATAAGGGGTCTCCCGGTTCGCTATAATTTGGAGAGCGACGGCGGTAACCGGCCAGTCCTTGAATGCAGGGCTGAACGCGTTGAACATTTGAACCAGGGCGTTGTATTGCTCGGGGGCCAGAACGGCTATGACTGCATCCAGCACCGCAGCGCAGCACTCAAAGGATTTAAGCCAAACTTCCGTGCGCCGTTCTTGATGGGGTCTCTGGCGTATGAGATTTAAAGACGGTCGTATATTTTCAACCTTGGTTATTTGGTAAGCGATATTCCTGGGAGTGGATGATGTACCCTCACCAAGTTGGATAGACCTTGCTGTACCATGGCTCGGGCAATTAAAATAGTGCCCTTGATTACACCCTTTTCACCAGAGTAGAGGACAGTGTTATCCCGCCACACCTTGCTGTTCTCGGAAGGCTTTTTAACCTCCCGAGCCAAAAGCCACTGAGTTGCAGTGAGAAGCTCATGCTTGCGGCCACTGG